GCCGGGACAGTGGGTCAGACACCGTCCTTTCACACTCTGGGACTGGCTGAGACAGTGGGTCGGACACTGTCCTTTCACACTCTAGGACTGGCTGAGACAGTGGGTCAGAGATCAAATAGAGGGTGGGAGTGTGTTATAACTACTAGTCTACAAACATCTTGTTATAAGCACAGCATTTCCTACCGCTCCAACCATAACATAATTTACATGAACAGCCAGATGAGAGAGGGCAACTGGATTTTTGATGAAAGTGCAAGAACGAAGAGTTGATACAGTCTTTAGGCAGTGCCCTTTTTGGGGGTGCACCAACCCAGGGTTTGTATACCCCTCTCCTCCTAGCTACCTATTCTCCCAATTTACCATCCACACTCCTTGCCCTCTCTCTAAGTTGGTCTACCTGCCCCCCACCCAATACCCACATCTTACCTTATTCCAGAAACCATGGCTCCCTTCCTCATGGGCCTGCTTACAATCCCATCATCATCCTCTACTGAGCTCCTGGTACTGTTGAAACTTCTTGAGCTGCTAGCCAATCGGATTAAGCAGCAGATTCCCAGGTGAAGGATGGAAGTCCAACTCTGCCCTTGTAACGCTGTGTGTCATTTACTACAGATGCATTTTCTCTCGACATTTCAGTCAAGCAAGGGCAAATTTCCAACCTCCCCTGACTTTGCAAAATGTATCCCAGTTCCTCTAACCCACAATCTCTCTTTGCTGGCCTCAATTGTTTACCGGTCTCTCAAGATCTCCAGTTTAAACCTTTCATCCTTATATTTTTATTCCTTCATGGCCTTCCACTGTCTATCTCTGTAATCTACGTGTGTCCTATAAACCAATAAGAACAGTGCATTTCTCCATCTTCAATGGAGTCCCCATTTGTACCTCATTATTTGCCATCATGTTTTTGGTTGCTTTAATTCCATGGTCTGGAATTTCTCCCTTCTGCCTTTTCCACATTCCCTCTCTCTGTAAAACCTTCCTGAAATCTGACCTCTGTGGTCAAGCTTTCAGTCACCTCATTCAGTCTCTTCCTTTTACTTCACATCCATTATTTTTCGGTCATTATACCGCAGTGAAGTAATTTGGGTTGTTTTCCTATGTTACAGAATAAATGCAACCTTGCTCTTTCTCCTTCAACATAATTCCTCTCACGCACTGTCTTCCAAGGCTAAAGGTCATCAGTTTGTGAAATGGGAAAGATACTGCCCTTGTGCAGCCCATTACAATGTACTGATGCAGGGTGTTCCAGTCATATTTACCAGGTGGTTCACAGGTGTAGAGTCCTTCCATCGCTGTGGTGTACCCTTCACCCAGTAATTGGTTAAAACTTGCAGTGGGCACTTCAATCAGACACTGAGTCGCATCCGAAAACAAGAGACCCTTGCCATGAAACTTGGTCGAATCAAACATTGCAAACTGGTCCTCCTCAGATCCACCTCGGCCATATTTGAGCTGCATTGAGAAACCACTGATTACTGATGGAACAAATATAATTGCTTGGTCTGCACATGAATTATCTTCTACTGTCAGGATGAGGGGAGACACTGAAAGGCACGAATTTCTTACATAATTAATTAACCTAGAGCAGGAGCCAGCAAATATTTCAGCCCAATGGCACACCTGGGCATGGAGATTACATAAGGAGAATAAATCTTGTGTCATATCTTAAAGAAGGTGTTCATCTGTTATTTCTTCCACACCTGTTGGAAAACACATTCCCAATTTTTCTCAAGGCACAAAGCATACACCACTGTCGCTCCCTGTTAAATTCATCAGTCTCATTCAACAAATCTAATCCTTAGTTACACTTCTGACAGGATCAGCAGATGGATTTTCAATTCTACTTTTGCTAACCGCATGAACAATTAATCACTGAGAAATTCAAGTCTCAATTGAGAGTTGCCAAAGCTCTAGGCCTGACATGGCCTCAATGTGGTCTCCCAGTCTTGAGGCGATACCAGAACAATCTCACAGCCTCACGAACCTCAAGGTGAAGTTTGTCACAGTATGGAGCCAAGGCCTGGTGCGGACTGGAGTCTAGGTGCCAGTGAGGTCTGGTTGGAAGACTCAGTCAGAGATAGTAAGAACTGCCGATGCTGGAGTCTGAGATAACAAGGTGTGGAGCTGGATGAACACAGCAGGCCAGGCAGCATCAGAGGAGCAGGAAAGCTGATGTTTCGGGTCAGAAAAAGGGTCCAGACCCGAAATGTCAACTTTCCTGGTCCTCTGATGCCCCCTGGCCTGCTGTGTTCCTCCGGCTCCACACCTAGTTACCCCTGGTTGGAAGACTGCTGTTCTGAACTTTCATTTTTGAAACGTTGGACATTTTATTTCTCTACTTGTTAAGATTTTGTAACTGAAGACGCTGTACATAGCTGCGTTTACACCTAAGATGGCACTATAAGTGGTGACATATAACCTTTTCACTGTACTTATTTGAGTACGTGACAATAAAGCTTCAAGTCAATTCAATTAATTAACACAAGGACCAGAATAGCATTTAATGTCTTGATCTAATCAAATGGTTGAAATTAGAGGCTGTAAAAATCTATTTAGTTAATACTGAGAAGAGTTTTTAATCATTTAATCTTTGGAAAATACTGGTCAAAGTTTCATAATGCTACAGTATTTATCAACAGACCTTCAACAATGTCACTTTAAGTGTAGTTTTTCAGGTTAACTGGAATTTAATATATTCATGATATTTATGGAATACTAAGAAAATGGTTGCACAATAAGTTGAAGCTTTACAAAAAAAAATCACAATTTCTGCCCAGTACACCAATTTTTCCATTGTCGCCAAATAAGTTTTGATCATTGAAGTTCAACATGCTGCTGGTAAATAAAACTTTGCCCTCCCCAAGTAAATTCTAATGTGGCTAGATTATTAAAACATTGCTAGAAAGAGACATAAAGTCAAAGCTTTTTGCCTCACACTCATCAAGATTGGAATAGAAAGAACCCAATTTAGGAAAGGGAACACCAATTTCTACAGCATTAGAACAAGGTGCTGATTGCTTAAACAATGATGGACATTGTGATACTATCAGACCAGTTAACTTTCAATGTCTTAGTGAGCTCAAAAAAGGTTGTGCCAGGCAGGTAGATTCTGATTGGTCAGGGTGTTGCCATGGAAATGCAGCAGGTTTGGCAGTCTTCAAAGACAAAGGTGCAACGTATGGCCAAATTCTTTATCCCACGCAGAAAAGGGTCCTGTGCATATATATATAGTTTGTAACACAGGCAAATAAATCACACAGTAAGCCCAACTGATATTCTTAAATTAGATTCCAGTCTAATCCTTAGCATAGTGGGGACTATTTAGTTAATGCTATTCAATATTAGAATCACATTTAATATGTTGGACACTATGTTCTGGGCTTAACAGGCATGGTACCAAACCTGGTACCATATCTGTGTGGTAGGCAAAATGTCTTTGCTTAGGCTGATGGCTGCATCCTGGATAAAATTACTCAACTGTTTACTGCAAAATAACAGTGTGAGTTGTCTAGCTTCACCTGTTTTTCAAACATTTTGCGACACTTTTCCCTTCCAGGGTAGTCTGATTTAAACCAGGCATCTTTCATGTTTGGTCCACCACACAAATACTACAGGAGGAGATGATAAACATTTTACTGAGCTTCAGAACATTGAAGGAGAAGTTGTCTGTCTTTGAGCTGTGAGGATTTATCGAAGATGTTGAACGATGACTCAATTCCAAGAAGGGGCTCTTACATTTCCCAAGAAATGTCCACACCCGATTGCCAAACCTATGTGAAATTCCTCCCTGGAGCTGTTCATCCCTGTCAGAGGCCATGTTAAAATTCCCACCGTCCACTCCTGTCCAATGAGATACACTACTCCCACATTGATGCCTGGGTTTTAATCATTCCTCAGCAATACACTCTCTCTCAAAATTTTCAAACATGTCTCTTTCTGAAGCTAGATAATAACTATTAATGACCAGAGTGTCACATTTAAATAAACCACACTGAAATAGTCAAGGTAAGTTTGGTTTTTGTTCTCCACTATGTGGGGAATAGGCCAGGTCTGGTACAGCATAGATTAAATTCAGTTGATGCTCGCATACACTGTCTCAAACATTCCCGGGGGTGGTACAGCATTGTTTAGATACCTCTTCATTGTCCAAACGCTCCCATGGCGGACACAACTTGAGGCAGATACTGAGCAAAATTTGTTCCCAATCATACACTATTCTGAAATGTTTGCAATGAGGTTAGCTTAAACCCGATGATTGACTCTGATTACAATCAAACACTAAACACAATGTGTACAGGCAAGCCCCAAACATTTAGCAAAACCCACATACTCACTTGCTGGTCCTTTAAAAACTGCAGGACTTGACGCCTTGACTCAGCACGGGATGCAACTGCTCGAGCTGGTACTTGAGCCAAGTGGCACGTCTTATAATCTGTTACTGGAGCCTGAGTGCCATTTAAGCACAGCAGCTTAAAATCACTGGACCTGAGACCCGTAGCCCACTCCTCTTGTGAATTACCTTCAAGGTGAAACATTGATTGGTTTAGAATATACAGAGTAGCGGTACACAGATTCAAAACCTTATCTGCAGCGCAACTGACCTCAAAATAATCCAATTCTCCTATCACATCACATTACACTTTGATTCTCTTCTTCCCATCACATGAAATAGAACTACCGAGGCAAGTAGTCCCAAATTTCTTTGCTAATACTCCAACAGGAAAGCCTCAGAATGGTGAAAAATAAAATAATTAACATTTCCAAGATACCTTTGTGAATAAATTAATACAGGAGTGAGCGTGAAGCTGCATAAACTCTTGTACTAGGTCAGAAAGTAGTCCTGGATTAGACTTCGTGGAGGTGAAATTTGTCTTGGGTAGTAAAATGGGACAGGCGATAGTGAATTACTCACTTTGTTTTATGCTGTGCCGACTCTCCGTTCCCAGTAATTTGGCAAAGGTGAAGCTTTTCCTCCATGTCTGTTGATTGCCTCATTAATTTTATCAGATCCATTCCTCTGATCTCAGTTCTGTTCTTAATCTTAACTCTATTCTGTAATACTGCACTAAAGCATCCAACAAAAGTTTCTATTCAAATGTTTGCAGTCAGATCTGAAACCTCATGTTCGGCCTGAGAGACAGAGTGCTACTGTTGAGGAAATGTTGTTGTTTATTGATCTTTAGGGCTTCTTATTCACTTACTTATTCACACATATTTTTCCTATAGATTTTCTTAAATGTGTCACTGTTATTCTCAAAAAACTTCTGTATCATTAAGATTTGTCCTTCAGAATACAATTCTCTAAGGGCCTGAATAAAGTGTGTTGGGACTACATGTGCATGGATCAATAAAAATGACAGGGCAAGTTGAGAAAGGCACAAAGCATTTGAACTTTGTAAATAAAGGTACAGAGTACAAAAACAAGAATATTATAATGAATTTTTAGTTCAGTCTTAACTGAGAATTCTGAGCATTACATTTTAGAAGGGATATTAAGACTTTAGGGACATAGCAGAAAATATTCATAAAAATGTTTTTGATTTGATTTATTATTGTTACATGTACCTAGGTACAGTGAAAAGTTTTGTTCTGCGTGCAATACAGGCAGATCTTTCCATACAAAGTACATAAGGGTAATAGAACAGAATGAAGAATACCATGTTATGGTTGGAGATAGGGCGCACAAACAACGAGATTAACATTAAATTTATAATTTGAAAAGTCCATTCCAAAGTCTAATAACAGTGGGGAAGGAGCTTTTCTTGTATCTGTTGGTCTGTGTGTTTAAGCTTTCGATGAATCCAGCAGTGAGGAACTTTGATCATGTGGGTAGACTCGAGAAGCTGGGTCCTTCTCCTCAGTGAAGACAAGGGTTGCAAAATGATGAGGAGTGCAGATAAAGCCACTGAGTGCCTGAGAATGAGGCACCTTCCCTAATATGGGGCCGTAGGAATATCTGACAGGGTTTGTTGGGCAGCCTTCAGGAACTTTAAAGTTTTTGAGAAGATTTGTAACTCGGGTTGTGGATGAGGGTGTAGACTTGCTCACCGAGCTGGTGGGTTTGATTGCAAACGTTTTGTCACCCAGCTAGGTAACACTGTCAGTGTGCCTCCGGTGAAGCATTGGTGTTCTGTCCACCTTGTTATTTATATGCTTCCATTTGCTGCGGTGGTTGGTATCACTTCCAGTTTTATGTCTCAGTGGTTTGTATATTGGGTCCAGTTCAACGTGTTTGTTGATGGAGTTCGGTTGGAAGGCCAGGCCTCCAGGAATTCCCTGGCATGTCTTTTTTGGCTTGTAGTATTATGGATGTGTTGTCCCAGTCAAAATCATGTCCTTCTTTGTCCGTGTGCATTGAGACCAGTGAGAATTGGTTGTGTCTCTTGGTGGCTAGTTGGTGTTCGTATATCCTTACTGTCTGTCTGACTTATGTAATGTTTTTCACAGCCCTTGCATGGTATTTTGTATATTACATTAGTTTTATTGGTTGTGGTTATGGGATCCTTTATATTTGTCAGTAGCTGTTACAGAGTGGTTGTTGGTTTGTGGGCTACCCTTATATCTAGGTGTCTGAGTAGTCTTGTGGTCATCTCTGATATGTCCCTGATGTGCAGTAGGGTGACTAGTGTGTCTGGCCTTGTTGTGTCTTCTTGTTGTGGTCTGTCGCGGAAGTAATGGTGGATTGTTTAAAAACTCCATATAAATGCTTTTGTTCTGCTTTGCACAATTCTGGATTGCTGCAGTGTGTTATGGCTCATTTGGATAATGTCCTGATGCAGCTCTGTTTATGGGTTTTTGGATGGTTGCTGGAGTAATTAAGTATCTAGTCCGTGTGTGTGGTCTTTCTGTATATGCTGGTCTGGAGTTCCCTGTTGTTCTTACGTTCTGTCATTATGTCTAGAAAGGGTAGTCGATTGTTGTTCTCTTCTTTTGTGAATTTTTATTCGGATGAGGATGTTGATTATGTGCCAGTGGGTTTCTTCTACTCTTGAACATTTGATAATCATGAAGATGTCATCTAAAAGTGGACCCAGAGTTTGGGTCAAATGGGCCACAACACTGCTGCAATCCAGAACAGCAGAAAAGAAGTTTTTAAAAGGAATGGATACCCAAAAAGCACAATCCTCCATTACCCCCACGACAGACCACAACACGAAGACACAACACGGCCAGACAAACTAGTCACCCTACCGTACATCAGGGACATATCAGAGATGACCACAAGATTACTCAGACCCCTAGGTATCAGGGTAGCCCACAAACCAATAACCACCCTGTGACAGCTATTGGCCTACGTAAAGGATCCCATATTCACAACCAATAAAACTAACATAATATACAAAATACCATGCAAGGACTGTGAGAAACATTGCATAGACCACACTGGAAGAAAACTGATAATAAGGATACACGAATACCAACTAGCCACCAAGAGACATGACCAATTCTCACTGGTCTCAATACACACAGACAAAGAAGGACATGAATTCGACTGGGACAACACATCCACAATAGCATGAGCCAAACAGAGACATGCCAGGGAATCCCTGGAGGCCTGGCATTCCAACCGGAACTCCGTCAACAAACACATTGAACTGGAGGCAATATACAAACCACTGAAAAACAAAGCCAGAAGTAATGGCAAACACCCCAGCAAATGGAAACATATAAATAACAAGCGGGACAGAACACCAACGCTTCACTGGAGGCACACTGACGATGGTACCTAGCAGGGTGATGAAACGTCTGCAACCAAACACACCGGCTCGGCGAGCATGTCTACAACCTCAGCCTTCATCAACCACAGGCCAGCTACAAGAAACCTGGAACCCCCACTAAATTCAGGTGGCCTCAGGGACAATTGGCTTTAAATGGTATTTATGAGATATTAGCATCTCACTGCCAGCAAGATTTCTGCGTCAAACCTTTCACAGCCTACATTAAACTTACAGATTGGGTGCTGATGCACCCACCCAACTGTTCTGGAGAGCATCTCCCATCATGCCTGCTCCAGTGGGCCATCCAATTTAGCCATTGAATTTTGTTGGGTAAAATTATTAAAGGATATCGAGACTGTGGAGGAGCCATGAGCTCATTGTAAAGCAGTGCAGACTCATGAGACTGAATGGCCTTCAACATCTTTTCAAGGGCAAGTGGGGACAGACAATAAATGCTGGCCAGCCAGTGATACCGACATCCCACAAATGAATAAAAAGAATTCTGATAGTCTAAAATGTAGGTCAAGTGGAGTTCAAGGGCCAATTAACCAAACAATGGTGGAACAGGTCTTATCCCAATACCGACTGTTCCAATTTCATCAAATAACTAACATGAATCAAACTGGACAACCGAATAGAAGATTCATTCATTAAATGATCAGATGGAATTATCTTGTATATGAAGCATTATAGGACCAGGAACTCACACATACCATCAGCGTTGTCAAAGACAGTTGTATCTTTGATGAAAGTAACATCCCCCTTCTCCACCAGGCACCTGAAAGAAATCCCAATCAGTACATTTTTTTTATTATGAATTTGGTTTGACTTTCATTCATGGCAGTCATGTTGTCATTGTGCCAAAGACTTAGTAAATCAGTGAAAAAGATTCAATCAAGGAACTATCAGAAACACAGATAGTAGGAACTGCAGATGCTGGAGAATCCGAGACAACAAGGTGCAGAGCTGGATGAACACAGCAGGCCAAGCAGCATCATAGGAGCAGAAAGGCTGACATTTCGGAAGGGTCTAGGCCCGAAACGTCAGCCTTTCTGCTCCTATGATACTATCAGAAACACAACTGTTTCGCAAATGTCATTTAGTAAAGGAAATGTGTTGACTTTACTTGGTCCAGCCTCTATATAACTCCAGCGCCATCTGAACCTGGTTTAGCCCAAGAAACCAATGATATCAAACTCAGACTGATGAGAAATGGAATTTGGCGGTGTGGCTTACGACTAAAGTATGAATATTCAAGAAAGCGCATTGTAAAGATTTGTTGAATGACAAGAGACCGCCTGCTGTGGTCAGTGCTGCAAATGAAGATTTGTCACGTGGAACAGCAGGACAGGTAGAAGCTAAAGCAGTTCTCGGATGCGAATTTGGAAGTCTTTTTCAAGGCAGAGGGAAGAGGTCGTATTTGCCTGAGGAGCGAGGAGGCCTCAAGATATACCCTTTGAGGGGACTGGGAGCAGGTGGGCACGGTGCTCAAACCAAGGGTCTTGTGCTACAGACCTGTCAGCAGAGCTAGAAGATGCTTAATGAGTAGATGGCACAGTGGCTCAGTGGTTAGCACTGCTGCCTAACAGCATCAGGGACTCCGGGTTCAATTTCATCCTTGGGTGACTGACTGTGTCGAGTTTGCACATTCTCCCCACGTCTGCATGGGTTTCCTCTGAGTGCTCTGGTTTTCTCCCACAGTTCGAAGATGTGCAGGTTAGGTGGATTGGTCATGTTAAATTTCCCATAGTGTCTAGGGATGTATAGGCTAGATGGATTAGCCATGGGCAATGCAGGGTTACAGGGGTAGCATGGGGGTATAGGATGATCTTTGGAGGGTCGGTGCAGACCCGATGGGCTGAATGGCCTGCTTCCACACTGTAGGGATTCCATGATGTCACACCCCTCCCAATCTCCCACATTGCTCAAAGCACTGCACTCCCATTGTCCACAATAGCATTCCCTGACATGGGACCTCATTGAGATGCTTGTAAACTGCTGCTAACCTCTCACTGTCTCTATGTACAGCTTGTGACTTAACCATGAGAGGGGAGCATCGACCTACCACAGGGGTACACAATCACTGACATTCCACCCTCTCCCTTGACACAGGATATTGACACAGTCCAGGTATGGGGATAGATTGAAGAACCTGCGACTGTTCTCATTGGAAAGAAGAAAGTTGAGAGGAGGTTTGGTACAGACTTTCAAAATCATGGCAGAGTAGATAAGGAGAGCTGTTCCTGCTCAGAAAAGTAAAAAGAACAAGAGGGTACAGATTTTAAAGTAATGGGCAAATGAAGCAAGGGTGATGTGAAAGGTTACTTTTTAACTCAGCAAGTCAGTTAGCTCAGTTGGCTGCCTGGTTAGTTTATCATGTAGAGTGATGCTGAAAGTGTGGGTTCAATTCCTGCACCAGGACTCTCCTTCTCAACCTTCCCCCTCGCCTGAGGTGTGATGACCTGCCGGTTAAGCCATCAGCAGTGGTCCCTTTCTCCAATGGGAAAGCAGCCCTATGGTCCAGTTAGGTAACTTTAACTTTTAGTTAGCGTATGGAATGCCCTGCCTGGAAAAGTGGTGGAGGCAGGTTTAAGTGAGACATTCAAGAGAATAACTGCCTAATACAGTTATTTGGAAAGAAATGGTGTGCAGGGATATGGGGAAAAGGCAGGAGATTGACACTACACAATAGAACCAGTGCAGGCATGATGGACTGAACGGTCTCCATTTACACTGTAACAATTGTATGATTCAACACAGGAGACCAATGTAGAATTGGAGGAGGTATAGAATCAATCATAGAATCCTTGCATTATAGAAGCAGGCCATTCAGCCACTGAACCCACACTGACCCTCTGAAGGGCATCCCAACCAGACCCATTCCCCTATCCCCATAACCCTGCATTTCCCATGGCTAACCCACCTAGCTTGTACATCTCTGGGCACTACAGACAATTTAGCATGGCCAATCCACCTAACTTGCATACCTTTGGACTGTTGAAGGAAACTGGAGCACCTGGAGGAAACCCACGCAGACACGAGGAGAATATGCAAACTCCACACGGACAGTCACCGAAGGCTGGAACCGAACCCAGATCCATGGCACTGTGAGGCAGCAGTGCTAACCACTGAACCACAGCGCTGCCCCACACCTTCATCTCCACAACCTGTCAAGTTCGATGGGCCTCCACATTTACAGAGGATGTCAGACATCCAAGTATTAGAACTCCCAGTGTGACTACATCTCATCTCTGTGGGAGGTTGTAGAATGGCCTCCAGACAATCGAGATGCAGCTCTCCCAGTCTCTGAGTTCCAAATGGAAATAAAAAGTAGGGCAAATGTAAGGTGGCCTGATGATTCCCAATCACCTGCTGGAATTTGTTACTCAGAGAGCTAAGAAACAAGCCGAGTACCTGAAAGCACCATTGAAGCCCCAGTAAATTTCATTGTCGCTGAAGGCACACTTGTCTTTTCCAGGAGGGGTTGAATTCTCATCACCAGCGCACAAAGAGCACAGTTTGGAGTCTGGATCTGCCCCTGCAGCACAGCTTTCACTGAAAAATGTTGCTTTTTGGCAAAAGAAAACAGAAGTCTTTCAGTGATAACAAGATAACAGTGATAACAGTGATAACAACCCTTCAGAAGGGTCTAGGCCCGAAACGTCAACTTTCCTGCTCCTCTGGTGCTGCTTGGCCTGCTGTGTTCATCCAGCTCTACACCTTGTTATCTCAGATTCTCCAGCATCTGCAGTCCCTACTATCTCAGGAGTCTTTCAGTCGTTAGCAGCAACAACAGGAATTCAACGCAGTCACCATTGGAGACAGAAGGGCCTGCTATTTAGAGCAGGAATGTTCTGCATCACTTCCACAGCACAGCAGGAGTACACTTCAAGGCTGGGCCAGCTCTTTCAGAATGGAAAGTCAGGTCTGCACTGAGCTTAAGGGAGCAGAGAGACAATGAATTGTGGAAGTGGGGGGAGGAGAGGTTAAGGAGATGAAAGAGGGGGTGAACATAAAATTCTGAGACCTTGGAGGAAGATGTTGGGTGAAAAGAGAAGGCTCCAAGGGAGGGTGATTGACAAGCTGGTGACAGGCAAGAGGGTTGGGGGATGGTTAAGGCAAAAGGTAAGATCTTGAGGACTAGATTGAAAGGACATTGCCAATGGCCTCTTTGCTTAAATGGGCACAGGATCAGTATCGCTATTTTTAACATCTATCCAGTATCCAAATAACTTACAGACTCCAAGTATATTTTCCTACAGTGTAATGGGAAGTAGCAAAGAAAATGAGCTCACATGCAGTTTGACCTATTGAAGAAGCAGATCAGAGCACCGGTGACAGCTTGGCTAAGACAGTGAGTTTCTGACAGAGGTCCCATCACAGAAATCAACAGTGAGAGGCAACATAAAGGCATCACATCTGATAGAAACCCTACAGAGTGAAGCAGGCCATTCAGAACATTGAGTCCATACCGAGCCACCAAAGAGTAGCCCAACCAGACCTATGCCCCTCCCCTATCTCCGTAGGCCTGCCTATCCCATGGCTAATCCACTTAACCTGCACATTCCTGGACACTATGGACAATTTAGCATGATCAATCCACCTAATCTTTGAACTGTGGAGGGTAACCGAGCACCCAGAGGAAGCCCATGGAGGCAGGGGGAAAACATGTAAACTCCACACGGGGAAAACATGTAAACAGTCACCCAAGACTGGAATCAAACCTGGGTCCCCGGTGCTGTCAGGCAGCAGGGCTAACTATGCCCCATCTCTCTGTGTGATTTGTCTGGCTATAGGACAGGAAAGCATGTCTGGGAAAACAAGAGTGCTCTGCTACACTATCTGGTGGCCAGTAGACCTTTCACCAACCACAGTCTTCATAACACAGGTAAAGGGATAGCAACGAAGTTCTGTCTGACAATGCCTTCTCCAAAGGAAGTTTGACCAAAGTCAATGTTATCCAAACACTCACACTTTCAGTAAGCATCTACTTACAGTTGTAAAGGCTGCAGTTTTTGATTTTGTCCTGGGCAATCAACCACCCCATTGGAATATTCCAACCAGTTCGGTTAAGAGCTGTGTAGCATGATTTCTTGCCTTTCAGGGTGTCCCAGGTCAAAGTTTGATCCTTCACAACAGCCACTATATATACAACTAGGGCGAAACATGGCAACAGTCAGCAATGTATGCATGATCTTTAAGGTAAGTTGTAAAGCAGAACAAGTCAAGACCGAATGGGTTAAATCATTGCCAGGCCACATCGTCAAGACCTGTCGTTCCTTTAGAATTGAAGATGAAGGGATTATCTAATTGAAATGTTTACGATAGGATCGATAGGGAGAACTAATTGCAGATGGTGTGGGAATCCCAAACAAGGGGTCACAACCTTATATTTAGATCTGGGCCACTGGATGTGACATCAGAATCTTCAGAACTTCACACAAGGGATCATGGAATCCTCCCCTGGAAAACTATCATTCAGAAGTCCAAAACTAGATGGCATGGAGTTAAGATGAGAGAGTAAATTTTAAAAGGGACCTAAGGGACAACATTTTGATGGAGAGGGTGGTACATGTATGGAATGAACTACCAAAGGAAGTGATGGAGGCTGGTACAATTACAACACTTAAAAGGCGTCTGGATGGGTACATAAATAGGAAGTGGTTAGAGGGATATGGGCCAAATGCTGGCAAATGGTACTAGATTAGGGTAAAATATCTGGTGGGCATGGACAAGTTGGACCGAAGGGTCTGTTTTCTTGCTGTACACCTGTATGACTCTTTTGATTCTAGGGGTTTAAGCAAGTGTCAAAAATTAACTTGAAGAGATTTCTATTTAGCAAAGGTCTTCAGTGTTACAGAAGGGAACAGCTTTCCCCTGTCCAAGAACAATTTGTCTTTTTTTTATACTCCTATGTCAGCATGGACCATTTTGTTGTATAATTGCATTTCATGCATGAACTGCAGAAAACAAAAGTCGTTCTCATCATCAGTCCCTGATTGTCCTGTGAAGGTGAGCTGCCCTCCCTCCGTGATTATTTTTTAATATTGAATACAAAAACACATTCGAGCATTCAACTTAGTGGCAGAGTGTGGGACTTAACTTTCATGTTGAAGGACAATGCAATATAATAGGGAAAATAACTTCACAATACACTAGCCAATATTAACATCTTTTGATAATCATAGAATCCCTATAGTGTGAAAACAGGCCCTTCGGCCCAACAAGTCCACACCAATCCTCAGAGCATCCCACCCAGACCCCATCCCCCTAATCTACACATCCCTGGACACTACAGGGAATTTAGCATAGCCAATCCACCTAGCCTGCACATCTTTGGACTGTGGGAGGAAACCAGAGTACCCACAGGAAACCAATGCAGACACAGGGAGAATGTGCAAACTCCAAACAGACAGTCGCCCGAGGGTGGAATCAAACCCAGGTTCCTGGTGCTGTGAGGCAGCAGTGCTGACCACTGGGCCGCCATGCCACCCAGTTTTCTGTGTGACAGATGTATTCTCTGTGATAGAGGCAAAAACGTAGTTCAGATTAGATCATTGGTATTGCGTTCGGAATTCCTAGCAAGTGGGTGGAGTTAGATTAATCCAATTTTAAACACTGGTGTTATAGCATTTGACACATAAAGATCACTTGGCAAAAAACCTTAAGATTGAGTGCTTCATACTCCTTTATCAGACATAGAGTCAAAGAGTGAAAGAATAGTTGTAGCACAGAAGGAGGTCATTTTGCTGTTTTGTTTCTATGTCAATTCATTTGCTCCGAAATTCCCATCTCTTCTCCAAATTGTCTTGCAATATTTGTCTCCTCAGATCATTGAAAACCATAATCAAATCTCCTCCCACAACATTGCCATTCCAGAACCTAACCATTTGTTGTGCAGAAAGGTTTCTCCCTGTGTTGCCTTTGGCTCTTTTGCCAATCGCCTTAAATAAGTGTCCAATGCTTCTTCATTCTTCCATCAACAGGAACAAATTCTTTACATAGCGATTCATTCTCCATCCTCGTGTATAACTAGCTGCCTTTTCTCTTTGATGCAAGATGACACCTTGTTTGTATTGTTACTGAATGAATAATCCAGAGGCCTAGCTCTCTGCTTTGTTCTTTCTAATTCACAGGGATTATAGCATTCCCCTTTAAGGGCAAACATTTATGCCTTTTTTACCCTATTTGTTCTCTGAATTTGGGCACCGTGGGCTGGGCCAGAGTTCCTTATCCATCAATAATTGCTGTTGAGAAGTGCAGATTTCTTGAACACTGGTTTGCTGGGCCTTTTCAGAGCAGCAGTTCAGACAATTACAGGATACGGAGAGAGGTGATTGATTAAGAATCAACCACATTTCTGTAGGTCTGATGCCACCAGGCCAGTAATTAATTGATGAGTTTTCATGAAGATCTGGTTATTTCATGGTTACAATTAATGAGTCTAGATACATTTAACTGCTGGATTTAATAATGCCCAGCTGACCTGGTAGCAGTTAAACTCACGTTTCTGCATCGTTGGTGCAGGTGTCTGGATCACTGGTCCACAAGACCACTGGAAATCTGAACTGATCTGTTTCCCTTTTACAGCAGCTGGTACTCATCGGAAACCAAGAATCCCCAAGGGAAGAGACACAAAAACGTCCAGAGGGACAACTTTTTCATCAGAGAGTGGTGAGAGTCTGTGGCAGCGAGTACAATTTTGTCATTTAAGAAATGTTCGGACAGGTATGTGCATGGGATGGGTATGGAGGGATATGGATCAAGGGCAGGCAAATGGGACCAGATTAATTGTGAAAACTGGACAGCATGGGCAAGTTGAGGCAAAGGGCCTGTTTCCATGCTGTAAACCTCTATGACTCTAAGTATTTGCACTTCTGTAAGTCACTGTGGTGGGCAGTGAACAGTCAGCCCTGTGATCAGTGTGATACAGGAATATCGTATCAATATTGTGTAACTGTTAAACCACAGAGTCTCCTCATCCATAATGACACTGGACTAGAGGGACAGCTCCAAATGTACAGAACTGGAAGACCATCCTTCAAAGGCAGCCCCAGTCCCAGTGAGGAGATAAAGCCCAGTCCCAGCATGGAGACAAATTCAACAATGGTGACTGCAAGTTTAGGAACATCATTGCAATTTTTTTTCGATACGTTCATGGGATGAGGGCATCACTATCTAGGCCAAAATTTATTACTCATCCCTAATTGCCCAGGGAGAAGTTCAGAGTCAACCACATTGATGTGTGGTTTGGAGTCACACGTAGGCCAGACCAGGTAAGAATGGCAGTTTCTTTCTCTAAAGGACATTAGTGGACCAGATGGGTTTTTCACAAAATTAACAATGGATTTATGGTCATTGCTGGACACCGAATTCTGGATGTTTATTGATGTCAAATTCTACCATCTGCCAGGGCAGAATTTGAACCTGGGTCCCCAGAACGTTACCTGGGTCTCTGGATTAACTGGTCCAGCAATAATACCACTAGGCCGTTGCCTCCCCTATAGAAATACTTATCACAATAATATAATTTCTGAAACTCACAAGGCTCTGTGTGTGCTGCTGGGTCCCTGCAGGGTTCAAGATAGTCTGTAGATAAAAAAAACAGAAATACAAGGAAGATTAATTCTTGCTCAGTTACTTGCTTCACCTGAGTGCAGCTGTTCAGCAGGGCTGACAGATATTGCAGCCTGAAAGGTTCCTGCAGGGTAAAACCCAAGGCAAAGGTGCTGCTGATAGCCCCTGCCAGACAGTGTATATGGTGGAGACATAATCACACCCTTTATGAATGGAGTTTCAGCCATAGCCAGTGCTCCTGAATCAAGTACATGTAGGAGTCTCACTGGGTGGCACTATCCGTGGTGTAGCTATACATCCCTCCAGGGCTACTGCTCTTATTCCAAGTAACAAAGTAACTGTGCCCTCCCCCAAACGCCAGGAGACAGGTGGGGGGGCAGCTTTTGAGAAAACCGTGTACAAGCGGCTGGTATTTTACACAAACAACAGCCTCAAAAAAAAGATTGGAACCTCTCCCTTTGAACTTATACCTGCTTCCAGAGTGGCACCAAGGCAAGACAGGATCCCATTTCATATGGCTGGTGGGGAGACTCAGTCTAGGTGAGGATAAGGACCACTACGTGTGGGGGAAATGCCACCAGCACATTGGCTGATTGTGGAGGGCTCTGGGGAATGGAGTGGAACAGTTGTCCGATCAGTTACAGACACATTATCAGATCAGTCAATGGTGGGAAATTGAGATTGTTAATGTCTGTGAACACAGAGAGAGGAAGGTAATTCTGAGAGTCAGTGCAGGGACATACCTACCTTTGTTATAATATTCAGTCATGACTGGGACCAGACCACACTTTTCTGCAGCAAGCATTCTTGCACTGTGCAGAACAACAGCATCAGCTTCAGCCAACTACAAAACAAAAGACTCTGTTAGTGACAGAGACAACAAGGTGCAGGGCTGGATGAACACAGCAGGTGTTCATCCAGCCCTGCACCTTGTTGTCTCGGATTCTCCAGCATCTGCAGTTCCTACTATCTCTGACTCTGTTAGTGAGCTGACTTCCTCAGACTAGATGCCTGCTTCTTTCAGTGAGTTTGTTACATGTTCATGAACTTGTCATTGGCCCCTCCTTAGTTGGAAATATAGTTTCAACTCACTTCTGTGTCTCTCTGATGCTCTTCTACCCCTGGTTACAACTGAGGGCATGTTCCTTTTATTGTCTCTCCTTTCTTCCCAATACTTTCATGGTGATCACGTGTTTAACCCATCAGTTGTTGTAAGGAGGAGGCGATGGCCTAGTGTATTATCACGGGACTGTTAATCCAGTGCCCCAAGCTAATGTTCTGGGGACCCGGATTCAAATCCTGCCACAGCAGATGGTTGAATTTGAATTCAATAAAATATCTGGAGTTCAGAATCTAATGATGACTATGAATCCATTGCTTATTGTTAGAAAAGCCAATCTGGTTGACTAATGTCCTTTAAGGAAGGAAGCTGACAACATTACCTGGTCTGGCCTCTATGTGATTCCACAGCAAAGTAATTGACTCTGAACTGCCCTCTGGGCAATTAGGGATAGAACATAGAACATCGAACATAGAACATTACAGCGCAGTACAGGCCCTTCGGCCCTCGATGTTGTGTCGACCTGTGAAACCAATCTGAAGCCCATCTAACCTAAACTGTTCCATTATCATCCATATGTTTATCCAATGACCATTTAAATGCCCTTAAAGTTGGTGAGTCTACTACTTTTGCAGGCAGGGCATTCCACGCCCTTACTATTCTCTGAGTAAAGAACCTACCTCTGACATCTGTCCTATATCTATCACTCCTCAATTTAAAGCTATGTCCCCTCATGCTAGCCATCACCATCTGAGGAAAAAGGCTCCCCCTGTCCACCCTATCTAATCCTCTGATCATCTTGTATGTCTCTATTAAGTCACCTCTTAACCTTCTCTCTAACGAAGACAGCCTCAAGTCCCTCAGCTTTTCCTCATAAGACCTTCCCTCCATACCAGGCAACATCCTGGTAAATCTCTTCTGCACCCTTTTGTACAGCTGCAACATGACCTCATGGCTCCGAAACTCAATCCCTCTACCAATAAAACCTAACATACCGTACGCCTTCTTAACAACCCTATCAACCTGGGTGGCAACTTTCAGTGATATATGCACATGGACGCCGAGATCTCTCTGCTCATCCACACTACCAAGAATCTTACCATTAGCCCAGTACTCTGTAGTCCTGTTACTCCTTCCAAAGTGAATCACCTCACACTTTTCCGCATTAAACTCTATTTGCCACCTCTCAGCCCAGCTCTGCAGCTTATCTATGTCCCTCTGTAACCTGCAACATCCTTCCGCACTATCCACAACTCCACCGACTTTGGTGTCATCCGCTAATTTATTAACCCATCCTTCTACTCCCTCATCCAGGTCATTTATAAAAATGACAAACAACAGTGGCCCCAAAACAGATCCTTGAGGTACACCACTAGTAACTGAACTCCAGGATGAACATTTCCCATCAACCACCACCCTCTGTCTTCTTACAACTAGCCAATTTCTGATCCAAACCACTAAATCACCCTCAATCCCATGCCTCCGTATTTTCTGCAATAGCCTACCATGGGGAACCTTATCAAACACTTTACTGAAATCCATAAATGGGCAATAAATGCTGCCTGGCTAGCGACTCTATCATCCCTTTAATGAATAAAACAAAAGTTCCATCTGTACTGCTGTGTCTCAGCCCACTCTTTCTCTTCCTCGTGTTTGTGTGTGTGTGTGTGTGTGTGTGTGTGTGTGTGTAACTTGTGTGCACGCGAGCATATGAGTCTGTGAGTGTCTTTCCTTTTCCTTTGAGTTTGGTCCTCTCATATTCTTGTACTCTTTGTGCCCAGCTCTGGGCACAGACCTCTTTCCAGCCCAGCCAAGCGAAAGACCCAGATATATTTTCAAAACAGAAGGAGGGTACAAAACTACCACTTGTGTCAATTAAAGCAGCTTGTATTACCCGAGAAGCTTAGCGTATTTTCATAAAAATATCTTTATATACATACATATTCACTTAAGCAGTTTGGTTCTGTGCTGTAGCATACGAAGAAACAAAACAAACATTGAAGCTTGACTCTATCCAACAAATAAACATAAGGCATTTCTTACTTGTACAAGATTATATTTACATGCATTTGAGGCACCGGGAGGGTCCATTAACTGAATGAGCTCTGACAGCGGTCTTTCCCAATGCAGCTACCCCAAGCTTAAGTGGGTCCGTCAGCATGTAGCCCTGGACCTTGGAATATGCCAGTCTGCAACACTCAGTCGAGGTCAACCACTTGCTCTAGAAGACTAGCAAGTTTTGGGAAGACCAAAGAGTGTCCTTTACCAAGTTGATGGTCCTTTAGGCATAATCGATGTTTGTCCCAGCGTGTATCCCAGGGAACAGACCGTAAAGCACAGAGTCCCACATCACAGAGCTGCTCAGGATGAACCTCGACAAAAATATCTCTTAGTGTTGGGAGAACACGGATTGGATTCTGAGGACAAGGACAAAGAGTACCCATTCTCTTGGCTTTGGACATACTTATTTCTAGTCAAGGCTATAGAGAGGGCTAGGAGGATTGAGGAAATTCTTCAAGAAATTTTAAATTTGCCAATATCCTTCATCAATTTCTACATCCATACTTTAATTAGAAATAGACTCTTTAAAACTTATCATAAAAAGCTAAAGGTGTTCGAGGTATTAATGACAAGATACAGAATTCTATTAGTAATGTCACTCGGCTAGTACTTCAGATCTCTGCGTTAATGTTCTGGGGGCGTTGGTTCAGATCCCGCCATGGTAAATTTGAAATGAATAAAATTCTGAAGTAAAATCAAACTGAAAGTGACCACTGTCAATTATTCTCAAAATCTACCTGGTTCACAAAAGCCATTTAGGAAGGAAATCTGCCATCCTTAGCTGGTCCAGTGACCATGTTACTCTGGACCCATATCAATGTAGTTACCTGTGGGCAATTAATGTTGTCTTGGCCACATCCTATGAATGGTTTTTTTGAAAGAGCTTTTACAACCTCAGTTTGATTATTGTACAAATGATGTTTTTGGGAACTGTACAGAGCTACTGTTTTTAAATTTATGAAGCATTGTTTTGGGGTTAATGGGATTATGCTTTCTACTGTGTGTTTAAAAATCTTTGAATATATGTCATGAGGAGACAGTTTGGTTTATTCTATTTATCTTCATTTCTTTTGTTAATAAATCATGTTTTATTGTCCAGCTAAATTTGCTGCATTGTGTCCATTTGTTTTGGGAAAGACCACTTTGTTAAAACCAAACGACACCAAGCCAGCGGAGACTTAGAGACTGCTTTGTGGAGCACCTATGCTCGGTTCGTGACAACCGACAACACCTCCCAGTCGCGAACCACTTCAACTCCCCCTCCCACTCCTTGGACGACATGTCCATCCTGGGCCTCCTCCAGTGCCACAATGATGCCACCCGAAGGCTGGAGGAATAGCACCTCATATTCTGCTTGGGAAACCTGCAGCTCAATGGTCTCAATGTGGACTTCACAAGCTTCAAAATCTCCCCTCCCCCCAACCTCATCCCAAGACCAGCCCACCTCGTTCCCGCCTCCTTGACCTGTCCGTCTTCTCTCCCACCTACACGCCCCTCCCTCCCAACTGACCAACTCCCATCCCAACTCCCTACCTACACTCACCTTTACTGGCTTCATCCCCGCTCCTTAACCTGTCCGTCTTCTCTCCACTTATCTGCTCCTCTATCCACCCTCTATCATCGCCTCCCCCTCTCTCTATTTATTTCAGAGCTCCCTTCCCCTCCCCCATTTCTGAAGAAGGGTCTAGACCCGAAACGTCAGCTTTCCTGCTCCTCTGATGCTGCCTGGCCTGCTGTGTTCATCCAGCTCTACACCTTGTTATCTATGATCTGTAAAGCCAGGTTTCAGTCAGGGATCAGACTTATCCAATAATGCCATCAGCGAAGATCATAACACTTCAGAAATGATCTTGTAATGTTGGAATGAACAGAACACAGATTCACTGCGGATGCAGCTTGTATGAAAGAACCAAAATGCAAAGGAAAACTTTTTCTTTCATCAGAATAATAATACAATGAAATTATTATTCACAAGATGCAAGGAATGGACAAGGTAGATAAAAATTAAATATTTCCAATACTTGATGGGGACATAGCCCCATGAAAAAAGGCCATAGACACAAGATATCAGAGATTTAGGAGAGAAGGGAATATCAGAGATTCAGGAGACAGAAGGAGAAACCGCCTTACACAGGGAGTTGAGAGGCTGTAGAATGTTGTTCCAGTGTTTGTGGAGGCAGAAACCATGTGAATTGAGGAAGATAAGGTTGAATTGTTCGTGGATCGGAAAGGTAATAAAACAATTGAAGAACACAGTAGACATAAACAGGATTTAGACCATTTTCTGGATGAAATGTGAACTCTGGATCACTGCTATAACTTAAATACATCTTTACAGTGGTTTCAACATACTTCCTCTATTGGCATGAGGGTGTAATTACAGCAGTGCCAGCTTGAGAATTGTAGAAATGAGAACAGGATATTTGATTATTAAAAAGAATTAAATTTTATCTATAAAATTTTGAAATATATCTATAAACTCTGATCTATTTATCAACTGACATCTAACCCCCATTTCTCCCTCAGGTCTAGTTTGGCCTAGTTTTTGCCAATGGAAATTCAGCCAGTACTTTTAAAAATTGGTACAGGTCAGACAAAATGTTGATTTGCTTTATTGAACTAAAATATAGAAGGAATATCCAATCTTAGATGAGGTTATGCTATCTTTGCTATCACAACCCTTTATTTGTTGTGGAGAGAAGGGTCTAGGGCCGAAATGTCAGCCTTCCTGCTCCTCTGATGCTGCTTGGCCTGCTGTGTTCATCCAGCTCTACACCTTGTTACCCCTTTATTTATTGTGCCATCTTGAATGAACATTTCCTTCACATTTCATACAGAAACCTGAAAACTGCATTGAGACTTCAGAGTGTGTTAGGGTCAAAGTAACCTTGATACCAGTTCTGCCTATATTTACATTTGCCCAATTAATTCCAGCCCTTGCATTTCAAATATAATCCATCTTCCACAAGCATACCCAACATTCCAAATATACACCCACATTCCAAATATAAAATCCTAAAACAAATATACTGCTGGCATCAAAATACACACTCCACAAAATTGCCACACTCATTTCTACCTATCTTACATAGTCAATGTTGACAAAGCAATCAATTTATTCATGCGTTGCTGGAGAGGGTAGTGGAGTCGGCCTCATTAGGGGCATTTAAACGGCTATTGGATAGGCATATGGGTGATAGTATAAGGTAGGGATAGAGGTTAGATAAACCTTAGGCTTACGGTAAAAGTTCGGCACAACATCGCGGGCCAAAGGGCCTGTACTGTGCTGTACTGTTCTATGTTCTATGTATTGGTCCCCTGCTAAAACATGACATTTCCTCACGCCTCAGGGATAAGTTGAGCAAGTCATTACGCTTCACACTTTATATAGTGAACTTAGTAAATATGCTGTTGATATTTACTGTAACTTTCTGAATGCAGTCTTCCACGGAGTCAGCCTGGACACAGCTGACCGATGTCCAGTTGCTGCACTTAATCTGTTCTTTCTCGCTGGTGGTGCACCAACGTAACTTATCGCCAGCGGATGCAGTGGTTCCATCTGAGGAAGAGGATCACAATGACTTCTGTTCCAGCACTTCATTCTAATTCATTGTTAATAAATCAGATTTTCAACTCTCCCACCGCGCGGCATCTGACTATGAAATCAGGTGCCACAGCATTGGTGCTAGATCCATGACTGTCAGCCACCCATCTCCGTTGGTATTTTATCTGCTTAGGGAGGTATAAAGACAAGTAACATCAAAAAGGACAGCAAGAGCTTCTTTAAGTAGGGAGTGAAGCCAAAGTGAATACAGGTCCCCTAGAGAATGACGCTGGAGAAATAATAATGGGTAACCAGGAAATAACACAGGATTTGAATAGATACTTTGCATCAGTCTTCGCAGTGGAAGACACTAATAGCATTCCAAATTACTGAATATTCCAGGCAGAAAAAGAGAAGATAAATAAAATAAGAACAAGTACTAGGGAAACCAGTGGGGCTAAAGACCAATAAGTCCCTTGGGACTGATCCTAAGATATTAAAGGAAGTAGCTACATAGATAGAATCCTTGGATTCTGGAAAGTTCCAGAGCATTGGAAAACTGCCAATGTAACACAATTAATTAAAAGGGGAAGGAGTCAAGAAACAGGTAATTGTAGGCAAGATAACTTAACATCTGTTCTGGGTAAATTGCTGGTGTGTATTATAAAGGATGGAAAAGCAGAGCACTTGGAAACACATAACATGCTCAAGCAGAGTCAGGACAGTTTCATGAAAGGGAAATGTTCCTGAGAAATTTACCAGAATTCTTTGAGGAAGTAATACACAGGATAAATGAGGGCAAAGCTGTCAATATAATATGGTTGAACGGTCAGAAGGCATTTGATAAGATACCACACATTAGGTTACTTTATTTTATTCACTCATGGGATGTGGGCATCATTGGCTGGGCTGGCATTTGTTGCTTGTCGTAGCTGCCCTTGAGAAGGTGGTGGTGAGCTGCCTTCTTGAACTGCTGCAGTCTCTGCACTGTGGGTTGATTCACAATGCCCTCTTAGGGAGGGGATTCCAAGAGTTTGATCCAGTGACACTGAAGAAATGATGATATATTTTCAAGCCAGGATGGTGAGTCGCTTGGAGGGGTACTTGAAGGTGATGGTGTTCTCATGTATCTGCTGCCCTTGTCCTTCCATATGGAAATCATCATGGGATTGGAAGGTGCTGTCTAAGGATCTTTGGTGAATTTCTGCAGTGCATCTTGTAGCTAGTGCAGTCGGTTCAGATATAACGTGATAGTTCCGTTCTCATGCGATCTCGCATTATCAGTAAATCGCACAATAGCTGTGTCATTTAAACTAAGGGGGCCAGAATCGCATTATAGCCAATACAGGTAAGGAAAGTGCGCATTCTATAAGTAGCGGTCTAAATCCTTCAATCGCGTTAAAGCCAATTCGCATTGAAGTAACATGCATTACAGCAGAACCGACTGTACACACTGCTGCTACTGAGTGTCAGTGGTGGAGAGACTAGATGCCAATCAAGTGGGCTGCTCTGTCCTGGATGGTGTCAAACTTCTTGAATGTTATTGGAGTTGCACCCATCCAGGAAAATGGGGAGTATTCCATCACACTCTTGAATTGTGCCTTGCAGATGATAGACAGGCTTTGGGAGTCTGGAGGTGAGTTACTCGCCGCATTATTCCTATCCTCCAACCTGGTACTGTAACCACCGAATTTATACAGCTGGTCCAGATCATTTTCTGGTCAATGGTGACCCTCGGATGTTGATAGTCGAGGATTCAGCGATTGTAATGTTATTGAATGGCAAGGGGTGATTGTTAGATTGGAAATAACCATTATCTGGCATTTGTGTAGTGTGAATGTCATTTGCCACTTGTCAGAGTAAGCCTGGATAATTTCCAGGTCTTTTTGCATTTGCACATGGACTGCTTCAGTATCTGAGATGTCATGAATGGTGCTGAACATTGTTTAATTATTGGCAAACATCCCTATCTCTCTGACCTTATGATGGAGGGAAGGTCATTGTTGAAGCAGCTGAAGATGCGTGGGCCTGAGATACTCCTGCAGTGACAGCCTGGAACTAAGATGACTGACTTCCAACAATAACCATCTTCCTATGTGCCAGGTATGACTCCAACCAGCCCAGAGTTTACTCTTGTTTCGCTTTGACTCCAGTTTTGCTAGGGTTCCTTGACGCCGCATTTGATCACACTTGGCTTTGATGTCAAAGGCAGTCAATCTCACCTCACTTCTAGTTTTCAGACCTTTTTTGTCCATGTTTGAATCAAGGCTCCATTGAGGTCAGGACCTGAGTGATCCCAGCGGAACTCAAACTGGGTTAATAAAATAATAGCCCATGGTGCTGAAGGTAGTATAAAAGCATATAAGATCAGCCAACTGGTAAAAGACAGAGAGTCGGGATGAGGGGGACATTTTCAGGATGGAAACCTGTAACTGGTGTAAGTCAAAGGGATCAATGCAGGGACCACAATTATTTATGATATATATTAATGACTTGGATGAGAAAAGTGAATGTACTGTAGACAAGTTTTATAGATCATACAAAAATAGGGGGGAAGGCAAGTGCTGAAGATAACACAAAGAGTCTGCAGAGGGATATAGATAGATTGAGTGAGTGGGAAAAATTTGGCCGATTGTAATGTGGGGAAATGTGAGGTTATAGACTTTGACAGGAAGAGTAGAGGAGCTGAATATTATTTAAATGCAGAAAGACTGTGGAAAGCTATGGAACAGAGAGATTTGTGGGACCTCACCCACGAATCACAAAAAGCTAGCCTCTAAATTCATTGGGGAACCAGGAAGGCAAATGTCTTCCTTTGTTTCAAAGGGAATGAAGTATAAAAGCAGGGAGTTTTTTGCCAGAGCTATACAAGGCACTAGTCAGACCACAGCTATAATGCTTTAAAGAGTTTTGTGCCCCTTATCGAAGAAACAACATATTGGCAACAGAGCAGTCCAGAGGAGGTTTACTGGGCTGATATCAGGTATGTCTTATGAGGAGTGGTTGAGTAATTTGTGTCTGTGTTCATTGGAGTTTGGAAGAATGAGAAGTGACCTTATTGAAACATAAGATTCTTAGGGGACTTGACAGGGTAGATGCAGAGATGTTGTTTCCCCTTGTGGGAAGGTCTGGGGCCAGATGGTATAATCTTAGAGTAAGAGGACCCACATTTGAGACGGAATTAAAGAGGGATTTCTTCAACCAGAGGGTAGTGAATTTGAGGAATTATTTACTGCAGATGCTGGGCGATTAAATATATTCAAAGCCAAGTAGACAGAGGAGACGCCTCAGTTGATACTCTCAAGTCCTCACTGGCAAAGCGCAGCTTTCTCACAGACACCTGGGAACCACTGGCCCAAAACTGCCCCAAAGTGGAGGAGGAGCATCCGGGAAGGCATCAATCATCTCAAGACTTGCCATCGGGAGAAAATGGAAGCCAGGTGAAAACTGATCAAGGAGCACACTGCCACACCAGCTCCCCATCCACCATTTTCCATGACCACCTTCTGCCCCAAAGGTAGCAGAATTTGCAGAAGCGGCATTGGTCTGTACAGCCAGATGCGGACTGACCCTGAGAGTGGAAGAGAGTCACCCTCATCTGCGAGGTTCCGCCAATGATAATTTTGTAGTCATCAAGGGAATCAAGGGTTATGAGAAGAGGCAGGAAAGTGGATTTGACGATGTCCTGTGAAAGTAGGTGGCCTTTCCTTGCAGGCTGAGAGGAGGCCACCTACAGTTTGGTTTTCCTTTGACTGACAGGGTTATTTCCCCATTTGTTCACACCCCCACACGTAACGTACCCACTCTTCTGAATCTGGTCACACACCGCACTCACCAGGGCCCCAGCAAAAGATTCCAATTTACCTCCTAATCTGCTACATCAGCAATTGTCATTGGGATCTGGCTGTAGTCCAACTGGTGCCAGTAGGATGAGAGAGATTCCTCTCATGTGAAAGGCAGAAACCTGACTCTGAGCCCATTAAGAGCCTAACTACCATGAAATCATTCTGGGATGACGCATCCAAGCAGGCATTGGTCTTTCAGGACTTTACAGACAGGATGGCACCATAGACCTCAAACAAAAGGACAGTTATTGTTTAAACTGGGGAAATAATTGATATTATCTGTTAATCATTAACATTTTATTTAGAAGGCAGGTGATGTTGCTTTTTCAAGTGCATTCGATAAATACAATGCAAAATTATTCCCTCATGTATCTCCCTCTCAGGCAAAAATATGTACAGAATACAGAAAATAGCAAAACTTACAGTGCTGAGATACCAAAGTGTAAGCATTCAGTCAAAGTAAAATTTGCTCTAAAAGAACAAAAAAGTGACTTACCAATAATTCCCAAGACTAAAGCCATGAACAGTAGCCTCATCCTGCCCCACATGTTGAAAGACTGGTGAAGGTAAGAGGCAATCTATCTCCTGCAGCTGTCAGGAGGTCACTATGGTCCTCTTAAAGATCTGAATTGGCAGAAAGACAGATGACAACAGAGTGTGTGCTTACCATGTGTTTCACAAGAACTTACCAGAACAAACCAACTTTTGCAATTCAAACTAACCTTTCATTTTTGGGAAGTGAGCTGGCTATTTAAAAATTATAAAGCATTTTAAGCTTTATTGTTTAAAGATACGTCATCAATTTATTATTGGTAAATTAAGAAAGGTTGTTTGAACTATATGTTCAGGGACTGATTTCCAAATTTCTGCCTTGCCCAACTCCTCTGTCCAGTTAATGACATTTTTACTCCTTCAGTTCTCTAGTGAAGTGCCAGTCTAGCTTCTGTTCTCAAGTGACTGGATGGGCACAGGCAAGTGTGACACTTGAATTTTCTCATTCAGGGGTGAGAATGCTACCAATTGAGCCTAACTGAAAAAAAATTTCAGTTTTTATGCATTGGAATTAGAAATTAAGAGCTGCAATTGGCCATTCAGCCCTTTGAGCCCATTCTGCCATTTAACATAATCATGGCTGATTTTATCCTGGTCTCAACCCCACTTTCTGCCTGCTCCCCAAACGCCTTTATCCCACTTTTCATCTTTTTCTTTCTTGAATCTGTTGATTGATTTTGCCTCCGCGCACTGGGGCAGTGAGTTCCACAGATTCACAACATTTATAAAATGATATTCCAGATTTTAACCAAGAGACTTGACCAAAATCTTTGTGAATATAGTCCATTTAAGCCTAATCTTTAAGGAAGGTAGTGAGGCAGTGCTTTTGTGTTTGACTTCCAAACATTGAGATCTACAGGGTAATGTGAAGGCTGAGGGAGCAGGTGCACCAGAGAACAGAATGAGAGAAACAGAGAGTTTAAGGTTTGGGGCATTGAATTAGGATGTTACAGAGAGAGGGAGAATGGAGACATTCAAAGCTTTAAACACAACAATGAGAATCTTGAGCTTGAGGTGATGATGTACAAGCAGCCAATATAGGTGGATGGGTGCAGCAGTGATTTATGAGGAAAATGTCTGGTGCCTGTACTAACAGCTGTGGTAAGAGCAGGGCAAGCTGGAGATAAAGGTTATTCAAACAAAAATGTCATTAACTTGACAGAGGAGTTGAGCAAGGCAGAAATTTGGAAATCAGTCCCTGAACATATAGTTCAAACAACCTTTCTTCATTTACCAATAATAAATTGATGACGTATCTTTAAACAATAAAGCTTAAAATGTTATATAATTTTTAAATAGCCTGCTCACTTCCCAAAAATGAAAGGTTAGTGTGACATTAACCTAGGCCCAGTAGCAGCAATCTTACCTGTCAGTCAGAAAATTATAGCCTCAAATCTCATCCAGTCACTTGAGAACAGAAGCTAGGCTGGCAATTCTCTAGAGAACTGAAGGAGTACAGGCCGTTGGAGATGCCAGGTATCAGGTGAAATGCCAAACAAAACTCCCATCTGCTTTCTCAGGTGAATGTAGAATACCCCAGAGCACTACATTAAGTTGTCTCTGTGTCATGGCCAATACTTGTTCCTTAATATCTGACAAACGTCATGCTATTTGTGGGAATGAATAACCTCTGTTTCCACTTCCAGAGCTTCTAACAGAAGGGCACCATCTAAACACCAATATTTCCTGAAACATTTTTCCAAAGTTGATCAACACAAGTTGTTTTTGTGAATAACCAGTTATGCACTCATCCACTCACTTCTAAAGACATTCTCTAACAAAGACTGTAGCAGTTTCAGGACTTCAGTAGGTCTGAGCACATCGCAAAACAGCAACTTGCATTTATAATGTGTTTTTAATGTAAGTTAGGAAAAAAGCATCCCAGGCATTTTACTAGACCAAAATGAGAAAAGAAAATGAGCAAAGAGCCTATGAAGGAGACAGTTAGAAGGTTGACCAACAGTTTAAAGTTCAGTTTGAAGTCTGATCTTAAAGAATCTGAATGAGGTGGAGGAAATAATTCAGGTTAGTGGGTGTAGTAGCTGAAAGCCTGGCTGCCAGTCAGGGGGTAAACGGTGAAATGGCCAGAGACATAGGAGTAGAGGGTTTAAGTGGAAATGTAACAGAGGTGAGCTGTGGCAATTTTGTAGAAGAGATGTAAATACAGGATAACATTTTAAATTTTTGGTGCTTCACAGTCAATAAGGGTAAGGTTTATGAATTGTCATAGAATCCCTGCAGTGTGGAAGCAGGCCATTCAGTTCATATTGACCCTCTGAAGAGCATCCCATCCAGACCCACCACCCTACTCTATCCTTGCATTTCCCATGGCTGTTCCACCTAACCTACATATCCCTAGCTACTATGGGCAAATTAGCATGGCCAATCCATCTAACCTGCATATCTTTGGACTGTAGGAGGAAACTGGAGCCTCTGGAGGAGAGCCACACAGACACAAGGAGAATACAACCTGAGGCTGGAATCAAACCCGCATCCCTGGCACCATGAGGCAGCAGTGATAACCACTGAGCCACCTCAGCACCCATTGCATGGGTTATGGGCGAATGATACTTAATGCAGGATTGGACATGGGCTACAGAAGTTTGGACAATATTTAGCTCAATAGGGGTGCAGAATGATGGGCCAGGCAAGAAAACTTTAGAGTAATTAAACACTGTTTTCAGCAGCAGAAAGATAAAGTGGGACAAATGCAGGCACTGTTCAAGATGGAAGTTACTGCTTTTTGTGTGAAAGGGGAGATTGTTTTAGTGGTTCATTTGAGACATTGAGCAGGTTAGTTTAACCAGAGACAATAGACAGAGATGGAAATTGTGGTATGATCATGGAGCTTGTAGCAAGAGTCTGAAAATAATTGCTTCAGTCTTCTTAATATGTTACAGGAAATTATAACTCAGCCGAGTCTATGAAGTGAGTACCTGAGCTGACATCAATGAATGATTCAACCATTGCTAAGAATTGTTCCTTTGTCACAGGAGAAAATGAACCCTTTCATCTCCCTGGCAAAAGTATGTATCTCGGGCAGCAAATTCCGAGATTGAGTACTTTTCTGGTTTGAGAAATATGGGTCTGTAGCACAGAGTGTCCAGGTGCACTTTATGTATTACTTATTGTGGCTTATGTTGTGGACAGAATTTGAAGTGTCAGTCTGTTGCAGTTTTAATGTTTTTTTCTCTGACATAACGTCCTTCTCTTGACAAAAGTTTTATTTTCACAAAATTCTCTTCTTCTCTCTATAGCATATTTCACATTCTCAAAAACTCCCAGAATACTTGACAGCCAATTATGTACTTTCCAAATATGATCACTGTTGTGATGTACAAAACATGGCAGCTTATTTACACATAGCAACAACCCATGAATAGCAATGTGATAATAGCTAGAAAAGACTATAAGAACATAAGACATAGGTGCAGAAGTCGGGGAGTCTGTTTTGCCATTTAATGAGATCATGGCTGATCTGATAAACTCCACCTTCACTTTCCTGCCTTTTCTCGAGAACCCTTGATTCCCTTACTGATTAAAAACTGTTCCTCAGCCTCAAGTACACTTTATTAAAGCTTCCATAGCCCTCTGCAGTAAAGAATTCCATAGTTTCACAATCTTCAGAGAGAAGAAATTCCTCCTTATTTCTGCCTTAAAGGTCCACCTCCTTGTTCCGAGATTCTTCTGATCCTAGACACTCCTACAATCTACCCAGTCAAGTTTTCTTAGAATCTTGATTGTTTCAATAAAATTGCCTCTCATTCTTCCAAACTCCAATAAATACAGGACCAACCTATTCTACCTCCCCTCATAAGACAATCCTTCTATTCCTGGTATCAGTCTAGTAAACCTGCTCTGAAGTACCTCCAATGGTGGTATATCTTTCCTTAGATAAGGGACAACATTTTCTCCCCGAGGGTGGTGCATGTATGGAATGAGCTGCCAGAGGAACTGGTGGAGGCTGGTACAATTACAACATTTAAAAGGCATCTAGATGGGTATATGAATAGGAAAGGTTTAGAAGGATGTGGGCAAAATGCTGGCAAATGGGATAGATTAATTTAATTCTGTGTTCTGTGTTCTAATTTAGGATATCTGGTCGGCATGGACGAGTTGGACCAAAAGGTTTGTTTCCATGCTGTTTATCTCTATGACTCTGAAGAGTTGCAAAACTGTTCACAAAATTCCAGCTGTGGTCTGACTAGTGCCTTGTCTAGTTTAACAAAACTTGTCTACTTTTATGATTCGTTTCTTTTACGGTTAAATGATGTTACTTTGCCTCTTTTCTGCAACAGGTTTCATTTTTCTTTGGAGCATGGTTTTAAATATTTTTGGCTTGAGATTTTTCAGTTTTTCTCAAGCAGGGCCTCCACCACCTCAAAAGACAAGGGCATCAAGTACTTAGGATTCACCATCAGATTCCTGTCCAGATCAAATTGTCAGTTTTCTATTATTGCTGGGTACCAGCGCAATGGAATTACATTCAACACCTGGACATCTGGCTTCAAGAGGATAGTCCACTACCACTTTCTGAAAATCAACTAAAGATGAACAATGAATACCAGTCTTACCACTGACACCTGCATTGTGCGGGTGAGTAGCTGAAACAAATTTCAATAGTAACACCTAGGGATGAGAAAATGTCCAAGGGACAATTGATGTTCTCCAAAGGGATGAAATTTCAGGTTGTACGTCACACAATCACTCTCAAACCTGTCAAACCTGTATCTGTTTGGACAGCAGGGTGTCTCTCAACAATGCACTATGTTCCAGTTGCGCAAACAGGACGTAAGTCAAGTTACAGCACAAGACGATGAGGCCAGTGTGAAAAATGTAAACAAACAGGGCAAACAAGTAGCTGAGTCATTTTGGGTCCTGAAACTGTAAACTGGAGAATTAAATTGGTGGGGTGAGGGCCCAGTGTCTAAAACATTAATTCTCCTTCTTTGCACAGATGCTCCATGACTTACGTTGGTTGTTTTCGTTTCAGATTTCCAGCATCCACAGTATTTTGCACTTATATATTGACGTTTCAGTGCTTTAGGTATGTTCCTAAAATTCCTGTTCCAGAACTGATGAAAACCATGTCTGAAATATTAGGTAATTACTTATAGTCTGCCTGGGACCATAAGGATCTCTCTACATCGTACTCACACAGCCCAGTTAGCCAACTCCCACTCTGAACCATCAACATTTTTCCTTTTCTTTTCATGACACTTGAGTATTTTTGCATTTCTGTTTTTGTTTCAAATTTCCAGCAGCTGCAGTATTTTGGAGTTAGTTTTTATTCTATGTTCATTCCTCCTCTGTTATTCTGACAGATACATTGTCTCCTGGTTCTTTTATACATAGTGCAACTTCAATGTTTTGTGCGTAGTTTGTTGAAGTTACTTCAAGGGGGAGGCAATGGTTTAGTGGTATTATTGCTAGACTGTTCCAGAGACCAAGTAAATGTCCTGGGGATCCGGGGTTGGACCCCACCTTGGCAGATAGTGGAATTTGAATTCAATAAAAAAAATCTGGAATTAAGAGTTAAATGATGACCATGAATCCATTGCCAATAGTTGGAAAAACTCATCTTGTTCATTAATGTTCTTTCGAGAAGGGAACTGCCATTCTCAATTGGACTGGCCTACGTTTGACTCCAGACCTAAAGAAATGTGGTTGATTCTATTCTGCCCTCTGGATTATTAGGGATGGGAAATAAATTCTGCGTGGCTAGTAACACTGTCATCCTATGAATGAATAAAGAATAAAGAACTTGTTCCTTTGTAATGCTGCCAGTTATTGACCAGGTTCTGAACTTTTGTCTATTGAGAGGGGAAGATTTTGCTGAGTTGTTGCCCAGGCAGACTGGGTTGTTGGGTGGGGCAAATATTAAGTCGTCAAGCAGCTCAAAATCTCTGCTCTAAAATATAACACAGGAAGAAAGCATCTGGAATGTACATAAGTTCCAACTTGGTGATTCCTTGCTTCCTCAGCATCAAACCTCAAAAACATTCATGAAAAGCTTAGTCTAAAGAAACAAACTCGTTACAATTTGTGATCATTGACTGATCGCTCCGAACACAGGAAAACACATGGAGAAGAGCTCAGTTCCTTGTTTGGAACTTGCAATAGTTGTTAAACAATGAGAGCAATGATGCTATGTGTTTAGCAGGGGTGACAGGTAAAGATCTTGAACATTTCTATCTGTAACTCCTATCTCCACTCTTTGCATGGTTAGTTTGGAGTTACACCTGGTGTTGAAGTGCAGCATGGAAATAAAGTTGAGGGCCGGTAGACTGTAGGCATTCCTGCTACTGGCTCCTCCTGGACACTGAGACAGATTATCTTACCATCCAGACCATGAAAGGTACCTTTTGCACCATGTGGCATCTCAAACTCAGGGGGATTCGTTGATGTCCGGGTCATCCTAGCTGGTTCTTAGTAGTTGGATGCCTACTTCAGTTCACCCCACTGGTTCTCTGAGTGCTGACAGAGGTCCCCATCCATAGCCTCTTATCCATGATGCCTCTGCTCAAGCTTCAGCTCACTCCTTCTATCTTGGCCTTCACCCACGCAAACTTGCCAAGGACCACACTCTGTCACCTGAAGGAACACCCCTCTTCCTGCCCCAGCTCCATGAACTTCTCCCCCCAGTGCTCTCAGTAGCCATTATCATTTGCCAATGGGGCACCAGGAACAGCAATATAGCATGAGTCAGACACCCATACAGCACAACCATCTTATTACACACTTCCCACCTGTGAGTTGCTATGCCAGCAGCTATGCATCTCAAACAGCAACTGATTATTATGAAATTGCATGCTTGACAGATTTGATTGTACAATCCTAACTAAAATACTCAAGTCAACATTAGTGTCTGTGATATAGGTCTGTGGTATACAGTTATTATTTGGGAAGTTTGATTCAAAAGTGGAGTAAAAATAGATTCTATTTTTAAGTTCTTGAAGGTGACTTTTCTTTTAATAAAGGTCAGAAAGTCATTTTGTACAAAGTGGATCTGAGATAGTCTTTCCAAGAAAGCATGTGACTTAAGTTAAATGACTCGATCAGCTAGCTGAGGAGTTAATTGCTGAATGTTTACAAAGTTGAGCTTTATCACAGAGAAACAAATGGACAGGAGCCATTAGTAGATTGAGTTCAGAAAAGAAAAGAAGTTATTCTGACAGAAGGGCAGTTTTTGATTTCTCCAGACTAGTTTATAGAAGTTTCTAGATGGTAAGAATTGGTGGAAATCTCCAGGAAGTGTTAGAATTGGAAAAAATGTTTTAAGTTGCTTCTGCAATCCAAGGGCAACAGCTGGAAAGAGTCAATTGAGTAAAAAATTAAAGCGTTAATATTGGAGAGATAATTTGCTGGGGTTGAGTGTCTGTAAAGAACATTGCTGGGGAAAGGGTTGACTTTTTCCTTTTGCTGCTTATTTCAAGATATTTCTAAATTGTGTTTTATATATATAACTTCTCTTTTTATGTAATAAACTTGTTGTAGGGATTGAAACAAGTTGACCTCGTTAACTATGAGGCTGTTAACCTGGGCCAATCAGGAAATGCCTTGGCTGACCAATGTATCCAGAAGATTAGAATCTCTTCTGTTCAGGCAACTGGAAAAAAAAATATAACCAGGAGATTGGAATCTGCTCAGTTGAGGACGGACTCCAAGCTAGCTGGCCACAGCCACTGTTACACTGGTGAATGTAAAGGGTGACTTGGTGATGGGACCTGGCCTCCGTGCCGTTGTTTCAGCATGTAGTACTCAGACCAGGCCTCTGTGTGTAGGCCGAAAGTGCCATGTGGAGGCCAACAGCATTGTATGTAGGTCGAAAGCACCGTGAGGAGGACAACAGTGCCATGTGTAGGCTAAAAGTGCCACGCGTAGGCCGAAGATGTTCCGCATATGAAGATCAATGATGTTACGCGTGTGAGGGCTGAAGATGCTCTGTGTGTGTAAGCTGAAAATGCTCCATTATGTGTAGGTTGCAAATGCCCCGTGTGCATAGGTTGCAAATGCCCACGGGTATAGGCCAAAAATGCTCCATGTATGTAAAAAAATATAACGAGGATATTAGAATCTCTTCAGTTGAGGACTGATTCTGAGCTAACTGGCCACAGCCAGTGTACTGTGCCCTAGTAAATAAAGGGTGACTTGGTGAAAAGACCCAGCATCTGTGCTGTTATTTCACTTGTGATTTTAGGTAAACTTTTATTGATAGCCTCATGAGCGTGTTCAATGACTGACCAGCACGTTAACCAAACTGTAAAAGTCAAACTTATGATCTATCAAGCCAGGTTTCAGTTTGAGATCTGAAGTATCCAGTATTACAATCAGTGACAGCCTTTCCTTCATTCGTCACAGACCTAACCAAAGATTAGTACAATGACCAATATTCACTTGAGATGACATTGTTGAGACCATCTGGGACATTAAAAGCATTTTCTTGTTTTTCAATGGGACCTGGAGTAGGTAGAGACTTAGCAAAGTTGGATTTCTGTCTTTCATATCTTCAGAGACGCCATGAGCATGAAGACTTACAGCTTCTATTTGCACTCTGACTACACGGCCTTTCTGAATCTTCATCAGTTACTGAAGTAGGCTTCCTCACGCTTGTTGCAACTTGTGAGTTTATGATCACAGGTCATTCCAGGGTTCAATGGCACAATCCAAACTCTTCAGAACTTGAGTCACTGGCAACTGGAATTTCCGGCATTTAAAATTCCTTTTGAATTAGCGTCAGGATAGAGGCGCTCACTGATCTGAGGGTGAGCAAATCTAATGGAGTAATCCCCGAAAGTCAAGGAGATTATTGATGATCTGATAGGCCTCCATTCCATTTTCTACCTTTTTCCTTGCTGATTAAACGTCTGCCTATCTCAGATTAAGGAACACAGGAACAGGAATAAGCCATTCAGCTCATTGAGCCTGCTGTACCATTCAGAAGGATAAAGGCTGACTGAACATTTCAATGTCTTTTACCCAAGGTATCCCCATAACCCCGTACACCACTGTGATTCAGAGTTCTATTAATCGCTACCCTAAACATACTCAAAGATTAAACTTCCACAGCCCGCTGTGGTAGAGTTTCCTAAGACTTCCAACACTCTGAGTAAAAACAAAACTTTCATCATCTCGGTGGCAGATCCATTTATATTTACATTGTGCTTCCTGGTTCTAGACTCCCCTCCAGGGTAAACATCTTACCTGGACCTACCCTGTCAGTCTCTAAGTACTTTTTAACTTTCGAAGAGATCACCACTCATTATTTAAACTCTAGAGAATACAATCCCTGTTTTCCCAGTCTCTTTTCAGAGGGCAGTTCCACCATCCTGAGAATAAGTTAAGTGAACCTTCTCTATAGTCCCTCTATGGCAATAATATCTTTCCTGAGATAAGGAGACCAAAATTGCACATGGTACTCCAGGTACAATCTAACCAATTTCTGAAATCAAGACTTCACTATTGCTCCAGAATATCATGGCTCCTGGGCCTCTGTTCAGGAATAGCAAGATTCTTCTTTCTCTCTCACATCCTCTGGCATTCTTGCATCCAATGACTGATTCAATAATAACTCTTTATCTAAGCTAATTTGCTAACTCGGTGCATCTCTTCTAGTGTTGAGTCCTAGGAGTGCATGAGGCAGTCTGGGAAATATTTTGTGTGTGCAGAGGCTCCCATTTGTATTATCACTGGGCCTTCTTGTAATGCTTGAAAGGCCCTCCATTCCTTCCTCACAGGTAAAAATGATCATCTTCACATTATTGTCTCCATTCCCCCCACTCCTCTTCTTTTTTTATCTCTGGAGTTCCCACATATTAATAAGAAGATATATGACTTGAAGTTGCCTCTACTACACCAACTTCAATCGGCAAAGAGAACCTGGGAATTTTCTGCTTCTTGGAGAAGGCTGAAAGGAGATTTGACAGTGATATTAAATCATGAGGGGTCTGGACGGAATAGATAGAGAGAAGCTGTACAGTTTGGAAGACAACCAGAAAGCAAAGATTTAACACCAGTGACAAAAGAGTCAATGGTCATCAGGGCAATGTGACCTTGAAGCCTCAGTCAAGGCAGTTGTGATCTTATTGAATGGGGAAACAAACTTGAGGGTTGAATGACTTACTCCTGTTCCTAATCAAATTTTCATATGTATCAAAGATGACAGAATGAATCTCAGTAAGAACTGCCGATGCTGGAGTCAGAGATAACACAGTGTGCAGCTGGAGGAACACAGCAGGCCAGGCAACGTCAGTGGATCAGGAAAGTTGACGTTTCTGGCCCATCAGAAGGAATCACCTTTTTTGCACAATGAGTGACTTTAAGAACTTGAATGCATTCCCTGACAGTATGAAGGATGCAGATTCAATCACACCTTTCAAATGTATGTTATCTAAGTGTCTGATGATAAATACTTTGCAGGGCTATGGCAAAAAGCTGGGTGCACAAGATGATTTGAGGTGCACTTACAGAGAGCTGACAACAACACTACAGACTGAATGGCTTTCTTCTGCTGTGCAACTAATCTCAGATCTTATGGTCAATTCAAAGGGACCTATCTCAGTGCCAGGTGCTCCAACTTTACAACGCCTCACTTCCTGAGCTGAATTAATGCTCAATATTTCCACAGCTTCAACATCTGATCACCCTGTGTCTACAACCCTCAACTTTTGGCGCTGTGGGCAATCATCTCCCACATTTCTCCCATATTCTCCCACCCTTGTCCTTCTATTTACCTAACCTCTCACATTAGAAATGCAAGAATGGCAACTGTATTGGTGCTGTTAATGTGAGGCCATTAAAGTAAGCATAAGATGCACCAGAATTGATGAGGAACTTAAGTTTACTTCAGCAGTTGGAACTGTTCTTCTTAGGAAGCAGAAAGACTAAAGAAGACTTGATAGTGAAATATAAAATTGAGAGGGGTCTAGACAGAGTGGATAGGAGAAATTGTCCCCATTGGTGAAAGGACTAAGAACCAAAGGGCACAGATTTAGGGTAATTGTCAAAAAATGCAATGGTGAGATGAGAATCTTCTTCAGCTAATGAGTGGTTAGAAATTGGCATGTATTGCCTGAAATCTCAGTTAAGGTATTTTCTCACACCCCATCTCCAACTCTTCCTTTCCTTGACCTCTCCATCTGGATTTCTGAGGAAGGCTTTTAACAAATACTCACCACAGGCCAAAATAAAATCAAAGTACGTGAACACTGAAGGAACAAAAGGTTCTGGAGAAATTCAGGGGGTCTGGCAGCAACTGTGCAGAGAGAAACAGTCAACTCTGAGAGTCATTAGACTCAAAACATGAACTCTATTTCCCTCCACAGATTCTGCCAACCTGCTGAGTTTTTCCAGCACTTCCTGTTTTCATTTCATGATGAGCCCACTAAATTCCCACAGCTAAGTCGGCTAATCTTTACACCTTGAACACCTAACAAGGATTCCATTCCATTCTCCTAGCTTCTCTGTCTCTGTCACATTTGTTTGCATGCTATGACCTTCCATTCTATCAATTCTAATCTGTCTCTCATTTTCCGTAGCCAGTTGAGTCATTTTTCGAAGAAATGTTGAAGAGTTGGCATTCATCCTCTGCTAGGGCATGAGCAGGGAGGGCCTCGGCTCCATAGAATGAATACAGCGCAGAAGAAAATCATTTGCCCGGCTGTGTCTGTGCCTACTCTGCAACAGCAGTTTCACTCACCCATCCTTCAGGCCTTTTAATTTTGTTTTGTTTGTTTTTCAAGCACTTATCTACTCCGTTTTGAAAATATTTATTGAATTTGCCTCCATCAAACACGCAATGGTATTTTCCAGATTGTAACAATGCACTGCATGAAAAAATCTTCCTTGAGTCACTATTAGACCTTAAATTAATGTTCTCTGGTTCTAGACTCTTCCATCAAATGGAAGAGTTGCTTTTTATCGATTTACCTCTGTCTGGACACCTCTTGGTTTTGAACATATCCATTAAATCTCTCCTCAATCTTCCCTTCTCTAAGGAGAGCAAGTTTCTGACAGTTTCTCCCAATCTCCAGATAACTTGGAAAAGAGTAATCAGGACTGAGAACAGAGAGCTTGATGATGGGTTAATCAAAGTAAGAAGTAAACTCCCAGTCAAGTTCAAAATTCCCTGAGCCCTCGGAGCTGTGAGTTGGCAGGAGTAAGAAATCGAACGGGAAAGCGTTATGTAAAATTGAATTAAATTATACCATTGCTGAATTAAAGATCAAGTTGAGGTACAGTTGATGTGTAAAAATAGCCCAGAAAGTCTGAATTATTACCATGGGTACTTTATTTTGCATTACAGGGACTGAATCAACTATGTTTTTAATAGCAGTTTAGCTCATCATTTTCTACAGTAAATCTGTTACACACGAAAGACTATTCAAGCAATCATTATATGAATATCATTGTAGTTGGACAGGCATCAGTGGGAAGAATGGAAGAATTCTAGGCCATCATTGGAAAGTCCTCCCAAAATCATCACAATGGGTTCAGCAGGTTTTAAAGGAACAAGCTTCCAGGAGCTCTGAAATAGAGAAGAACAGATGCTTAGAATGGAGCTGTAAAGGCTTTGACTTTAAAATGTCCCTTGTAGCAATGGAACATTTATGTCTATGTAGTTTATTTTGTGTTTTTGTGGGTGAAGGAGATTACTAGTGAGAAATGCAGCAATTACATTTCAGGCAGCCAGTGTTATCTTTCTAGTATAAGTTAGGTGCAAAATATACCCTTGATACCATCCTATCTCAGTATGTACATTGCCCACCAAAGATTGCTGGGTTATGTGTTGCCTGGTTTATATTCACAATTCTACATTGTTCCAACACCGCTCAGCCCCAGAATTTGAGCAACAGTTCAGAAAACAGCAGTACACATTTTAAGATTTCCCAACCAACCAAATCATGCTCTCTCTGATCCTATTTGTAATATAACAGAACATATTTGTACTGACATCCAAGTCAATAAGAATCAGGTTGAGTCTGTGACCCTGTGATTCATCTCATTAGTTTAGAGCAGACTTGAACAAGTCTAAAATTAAGGTCTAAAATAACGCGCAATCCAATTTCCTTATCATTTTCCCCTCATGGATGGTTGATGAACTGGTAAACTAAAGACATGTTATTAAAAATTGTTTTCAATCAAGGAAGAGTTGTGTTGAGACAATAACTTACTCTCTTTGGGAATTTGTTGAACATCACTACAGCTAACATCTTGGACTAAATCTGCAAAGCTGAAAACTTGCTGCAGCCGAGAAAGCACAATTAAGCCAGTGCTTTCAACAGGACAGATGTTGGCCAATATAAATTCAATGAGGCAAGAGCCAGATTCTGATTCAGGAGATTAGAGAAAGCTATGACAACTGCATGAAAAGGACAAGTTTGGAAACTTCACAATTGCTTTTGGTAGCAACAAATATGGACCAGTAATTCAGGTTATGACAGAAACCTCTCTGGTAATCTCACCAAAATCAACATAGAATTTGCACACTTTTACAATGCATGGTCTTTCAGCAGAAGATGGAGATGTCTGGCTGAATTCCAATGTTCAAAGATGTCAGATGGTTGGACTATCCCACACTCCCAGATCTCAGCTATTCAGATCCATAACAATATGAAAGACTGCATTAAATGAAGCTCCTGGGATCTATGTAAGTGGGCCCCTTACCCTCAGAACCCATGAATATAGAATGGGCCATTGACAATCCAACATTGAATGAACCACATCACAAACAGAAATGTGTGGGGATTCTTCCTTCAATCATGATCTTGCCTTTCTTGCAATTCCTACATTGAACAGTCCAGGCAAGCTTCATTACTAATTCTGCCACTGTATAGCATGACCTGAAAGAACTTGATCTGACCCCATTCATCCCATGCTTTCCATTCCCAGTAAAAATCCAACAATCTGAAGTAAAGAAACCATGTTTACTGAACACTATGATTCAATAGTAATTACCAAGGGGTTCACAGGACTGGAGTCCTTCCACTATTTTAATGTAACTGTCACCCAGATACTTTTTGTAGTCACTGTCGGGGACTTCAATGAGACATTGAGTGGAGTCTTTAAATAGGAGGTTCTTCCCAGAAAATGCTACTGAGTCGAACATGGCGAAGATACTTTCCTCAGATCCACCATGACCATGTTTCACCTAGAATTTGAAACAAACCTGTTAATGATGGTGACTGCAAACACATCACAATGGTCTGAATATGAATTATATGAGGAACTCGCCTCTTGGTAAACATTATTTAGTCCCTCAAGCTTGTTCCACCTTTAAACTGTATCATAGCAGACCTGCACCTCAATCTGTCTGCACTCCAAATGCCTTTTTGCCTTTATGAATTAAAACTTTTCCAATAGGATTGTTGACATTGACTCATGTCTAATACACACTGATAAACTTACAGCATCTTGGCTTGAAGGTTATCCATTTTTTGACCTGACAGCAACACCTCTGTGTCTTCAAAGAAGTCTCTTTTGTGAAATGGCAGAACCAACAAGGCTGGGGTTTTATTTTTAATCTTTCATGGTGTGTGGCTATATCTGAGAAGGCCAGCATTTGTTGTCCATCACTGATTGCCCTCGAAATTAAAGATTTGTTCAGAGGGCACTGCTCTGGGACTGGAGTCACATTCGGTGAAATTTTCGATGACTTTTAACCACTTCATTCCCCATAATCCTGCACTCCATTGGTTATCAGAAATCTATCAGTTTCTGCCTTCAATGTATTCAAAGATTGAGCCTTCCATGGTAGAGAATTCCAGGGTTTACCACCATCTGAGTAATAATATTTCTCCTCATTTGGGACCTAAGTAGTATCTCCCTTATTTTTACAATGTGCTGTTTGGTTCTTGTAATGATTGGAACTAGCTGGATCTTGTTGACTACAATGTCCTGGTTTGGGGTTGTTAACCTGGGCCAATCAGGAAAGCCCTGGCTGACCAATATAACCAGGAGATTGTAAGGGTTAAAAATATATATGCATAAAATTAAAAAAAACAAAAAGCAAAAAAAAGCATAAATAACCAGGAGATTTAGAATCTCCTCAGTACAGGGGCTGACTCCAAGTTGGCTGGCCACAGCCAGTGTACAGTGCACAAGTAAATAAAGGGTGGCTTAATGACAGGATACCAGCCGTTGTGTAGTTATTTCAGTTCTAGACCCTTCAACCAGGGGGAAACATCTTACCTGCGCATAACCCTGTCTATTCCTTTAAGTATTGCTTAATTTTCAATGAGATCCCTGTCATTTATTGATACTGTAGAGAACAGAGGCCCACTTTGCCCAGTCTCTCTTCATTGGCCAGTCCTGGGAACAAGTCTGATAAACATTTGTTGCACTCCCACTATGTGAAGAATATCTTTCCCGAGAAAAGGAGACCAAAACTGCATACAATACTCTAGGTGCAGCCTAACCAAGCTCCTATACAATTGAAGCAAAACTACTCTTCTCCTGTATTCAAATCCTCTTGCAATAAAGGCTAACATTCCATTAGTCTTCCCGATACCTTGCTGTACCTGCATGTTAGCCTTTTGTGACTTATTGACAAGAACACCTAAGTCCTTGACAGCATCCGCAGTTCTTTCAGTTTTCACCAATGTCTGTATGTACATCTACACTTTCCAACCTCCTACTACCTAATAAACATTCTGCACATCTGTTTCTCTGACCAAAGTGGATAACTTCAGATTTTTCCACATTATATTCCATCTGTCGAGTTCTTAACCATTCAATAAGTCTGTCCAAATCCTCCTGAAGCTGCTTTATATCTTCCTGACAACACACAATCCTACTTTGTAGCATCAGCAAATTTGGAAATATTATATTGGTCCCCAACTGCGAATCACATTGTGATACAGATCTTTACACCACCTCACAAGTCACAGCCCGCTAATGTGAGAATGACCCGTTTATTCCTGTTCTTTTTTTGTCTGTTAGCCAATAATTAACCCATGTCAGCACATTACCACCTATACTGTGAGGTGCATTCAATTTTCTAGCGTGGTGACCCTCAAGTTAAACCACCAGCAGTCATTTGTCTCCAGTGAGAAAGGAACCCCATGGTCCTCTGAGATTATTGCAACTCCAAGTTTACCTTTAATTCTTCTACCCAGCATTTTGTGGGGAGCATTATCAAAAACCTCTGAAAATCTCCTTTATCATTTTGGTTAGCAACAGGTTCAAACAAGGTAGTCAAACACAATTTCCCAATCACAAATCCATGTTGACTATCCCCAATTGGATCATTATCATTCAAGTGTCTATTTATCTGCAGTTCTCTGTTTTCACTCTTGTTCCATTCTTAAAAAGTTGAGGGTGGGAAACATTTGCTCTATTCCAATTCACAGAAACCATTCTGAATCTATATAATTTAGGAAGATAATCACCAATCCATTGACTACCTCTACAGCTACCACTTTCAATACTTTGGGATGAAGACCATCAGATCCAGGGAGTTTATCTACATTCACCCCCATTAACTTCACCAGTACAAACTTCTTACGGATGCTAATTTCCATCAACTCCTCAATCACCACATGGAGTTCTAATTCTGGGAGATTTCTTGTATCAGCCTTGGTGAAAACAGACACAAAGTAACCAATTAACTTCTCTGCTATGTTGCTATTCCCTATTATAAATTCTCCTGACTCTACTTTTAATGGAGCCATGTTCGTTTTAATCAAACATTTCCTTTTTACGCAACTATCAAAGCTTTTCCAATCTGTTTTAATGTCTGTTATTTTTTCAAAAACTCATCAGTGTTTCCTAAACCTTACGAATAAAATGCTTACCTGCTCACTCTTCAGCAATTTGAGAACCTTTTCTCTCCTATCCAGTCGTGTCATAACAGCATGAGATGGGGCATCAGCCAAGTGGCAGTTCATGAACTGATCAATTGGGGCTGTAGTACCATCTTTGCACAAGAGGTGATAATTAGAAGAGACCAGATTCTGATTCCAGTCAAGCTTTCCATTACCTACGAGTGAAAAAGATTCCAATAATTATCTGCTTACACCATCTGCCTGAATTTTCCTATCAAGCCCTTTATGAGATATTTCAAAGACTTTGGGGAAATGCACATACTGCATTCTAATTATCTATCTAATCGGTCCATTCTTCCAGGAAACATTATTAAATCTGGTAAGCACAACTTAAATCCATATTGATGTTCTTCATTGGGCATGCAGTTCTAAATACTCACTGATTTACAGGAGGGAGCTAATGTCTTCATTATCTGTGTGATGATCTGGGAGACTGAATCCCAGTCAAATAATCCAGGGGTGAAGGTACAAATCATCATATCTCTAACTTCTTTCTGCCATCAAGGATACATGTTATCCAGTCACTTATCCAACTTGTTTGTACTCATTATCTCAGAATAATTTTATACAGTGAGCTATTAATGATTGTTTGATATCCTTTTGCAGTCTTACCACTATTAAAATTGTAGAAATGTTTTGTGTGCCTCTTATGTATTTAGTCTTCAGTCTTCATATTAATCTCCTTCATTTATTCAGAAGGAATCCTACCCTCTAATTATTCATCTACTTTTTAAATGCTTATAAATGCCCCTATTATTTCCTTTCATATTGGTAGCCTTGACATGTATTCACTTTCAGCCCTTCAATTTCTCTGTCTCTCCGCCTCCATACTTCAATTGTTTGTTTACCATTTGTTGGGGATTCATGCTGCAGCTGAAACTTATGACACCATAAGCCAGGAGACTCTGGTGTATGTGGTTTAGGACAAAGCATTGCAAAGTCACCGAGAATATTACGTACCGTCAGTGTTCTCCAGCACAGTGGTATGTTTAACAAATGCAACATCGCCTACGTCCACCAGGCACCTAGAGGAGATTGGGATGAACTTATTCAGAAATCAGAATGTCAAAGAAAATACATTCAATGCTTCCCTTCTCCAATTTTCTCCCTTCCTCTTTAATGGAGGCTAACTCCAGCTCATATAATGCAGACCTCTGGTATCCAACCTGTGTGGTCCTTCTTAAAATATCATTAGATAGTGAGTGGGCAAGTTTATCCTAACTCACCAGGTAAGAAATGCATATACTCGTCCAATATTCTATGTTGAATTCAATGGAGAACAACGTGGCAAATTCACATTGCACCCAATCATTAGAGAGAAGAAGGTTAAGAGGTGACTTAATAGAGACATACAAGATGATCAGAGGATTAGATAGGGTGGACAGTGAGAGCCTTTTTCCTCGGATGGTGATGGCTAGAACGAGGGGACATAGCTTTAAATTGAGGGGTGATAGATATAGGACAGATGTCAGAGGTAGGTTCTTTACTCAGAGAGTAGTAAGGGCGTGGAATGCCCTGCCTGAAACAGTAGTAGACTCGCCAACTTTAAGGGCATTTAAATGGTCATTGGATAAACATATGGATGATAATGGAATAGTGTAGGTTAGATAGGCTTCAGATTGGTTTCACAGGTCGGCGCAACATCGAGGGCCGAAGGGCCTGTACTGCGCTATAATGTTCTATGTTCTATGTTCTAATCCATAAGTTTCCTCACCAGCGAGCTTAGTTAAAATTCCTCTCTGCAATGCCAGCAGGTAGTTTGATCCTGCTAGATTTTATGCCCAAGTTGAGTCCTGTCCGTAACCTTAACCACATCCACATTTTCCAGCAGCAGTCCTGTCAGTCAGACTGATCTCCCACTCTATCGTACTAAGCTTTTTCACCAAGCCAGCTATCAGCTGTGTGCTAAATTTCTACTGCCTTTATGTCCACTACGATCTGCTTTTGTCTTTGTTCCACCATAGTATTTGGCAGCTCGTTCCAAACTAATAACTAACAAATCATCCTTTTTCATCCATATCGCTGAGTTGAAGAGTTCAAATCCCACTCTGGAGGTCTGGGTACAAAATCCAGGTCAATGCTTCAGTACCATAGGAGTTCTGTACCGTCAGAGGTGTTATCATTTAGAGAAGACATTCAATCATGAACGCTTATTGTGCCCAGCAATGGCAGGCATAAATGATCTGTGCAAAGAGGAGTGTGGTTTGGTACTCTCTTCCACAAATGATATTTAATGTGATATAATCTAATATGATTTGTAAAGATGCCTGAGACCTAATGGAATTAGGGAAAAAATAATTAATTAAGGGTTAATTGGGTGTGAATTGTATGTATAAATGTGGGGAGTTAATAATCAGTGGGGTTCATAGCTGTTGACTGCCCCTCTTCCACAGCTATGAACTTGGAGAAGGAGCACACAGTGTCCACTGATACTCGCAATGCCTTTAGAGAGAGGTGGGCACCACAGGGGGCATCTCCCCCTCTAACTCCATTTTGATTTAGCCCTGCTCTCTACCTCTTCCTCGCTTTTGATGGTCTGCTTTGCCCTTAGTAGGCTTTGCGCATAAATGAGCCAATTGAGCATGGTGGCTCAATGGTTAGCACTGCTGCCTCACAGTACCATGAACTTGGGTTCAATTAGGTGGATTGGCCATGCTAAATTGCCCATAGTATCTAGGGTTGGGGGTGGGTCTGGGTGGGATGCTCTTTGGAGGGTCAGTGTGGACTCGATGGGCAGAATGGCCTGCTTCCACACTGTAAGGATTCTATGATTCTAAGAGCTGGTGATGGTGAATAGTTGAAAAAATATTGTGGGTGACTTCGTGATGGGGAAAAATAATGTTCAGTTATGTATAATGGCACTTCTAGACATGTGAAAATAATTGGTGAGGTGGAGAGCTCTTGTGCTGCAGTGGTAGTATCCCTACCTCTTAGCCAGGAGACCTGAGTTCAATACGATGAATAATAACATCCCTGAGCAGGTTGATTTAAAAAAAAAATTGGGTGTGATTTTATGAAATGTGGTTAATCAAAATAATGCTCTCACTAAAAGAGTGGACTTGGACTCGTTCAAAACATTCATCTTCTTTGCACAACATAATATTGGATCAGATGATCATTTTTAAACCAGGATTCAGGGATTTTTATTCCTGAAACTGAAAGAAAACCGCAGTTGTTGGAAATCTCAACTCAGAATAGAATAAGCAGGTCAGGCAACATCCCTGGAGAAAGAAAAGTTAACTTTTCAAGTCGATGCCTTTTCATCAGAAAACGGAAGTAGGGCAAAAATGGCAAAGGTTTGGAGTTTAGTCATGAAGGAGGCAAAATCTCACTGAATGGCAGAATAGTGTCAAAGAGCTAAGGAGCCCTCTCCTGCTTTTATAATCCCACGCTTGAAGAAAATTCCACAGTCAATCTCACTAAAGCAGCTAATTCCAATCTGTATCTCATTGTTATTGGTGGGACTGTACCGCATGCAGATTGGTTGCAATAACACAGTGACCACACTTCAAACAACACAGCTATAAAGCCCTTTGGAAGGATACGAAAGGTGCTACGTAAATGTGAGTCCTTTTCTTTACCTGAAGGCGCCGCTGTAGCTGTAGTACCTCTCATTGATGTTGGCCGCACACTTGTCTGTTGGCGGCATTGAACTTTGACTTTGACTTCCAATGCACAGAGAGCACAGATTTGGGTACAGGGCAGCATTCGCTCCAGGGGCACAGCTCTGACTGAAATATGTTGCTTAATTCAAAAAAAATTTAATTAAGAGTTAATTTCATCTCTAGATTCTGTTTGGCCTGTGACACTAAATGTGTCAATGTTTATAGCATCGCTGATTGATCTGTAATATAATGCAACTGCACTGCAATAATCTGGGCCCAACACTAGTCCACACCAATCTCTGTTGCTATGAACTAATCAGATAGTCATGTTAGGTCCTGATGACGGGCCCATTGATCCCCTACCCAGGTAACTGCACTCCAGCACAATCTGCAAGCTCATGGCACAGCATATGCCCCACTCAGCCACCACCATCAAGCTAGGGGATCAACCCTGGCTCGATAGAGAGTGCAGGAGGGCATGCCAGGAGCAGCAAAAGGCATACCTGAAAAAGAAGGGGTGTCAATCTGGTGAAACTACCAAGCAGGACCAAACAGCATAAGCAATAAGTAGTAGACTGACCCAAGTGATCTCACAGCCAACGGATCAGATCTAAACTCTGCAGTCCTGCAACATCCAGTCGTGAATGGTGGTGGTCAATTAAACATTCACTGGAGGGGGAGGAGGTACCACAAGTATCTCCACTCTCAACAATGGAAGAGATCAAAACTCAATGCAAAAGAGAAGAACAAAACTGAAGCAATTACAGCTATCATTGGCCAGAAGTGCAGAATGGATAATCCATCTCAACTTCCTCCTGTGGTGCCCCAGCATCATAGATACCAGTCTTTATCCAATTCGATTCACTCACGTGATATCAAGAAACAGTTGGAGGCATTGGTTACTGCAAAGGCTAGGTGCCCTGACAACTGTCCAGCAATAATACTTAAGACTTGAGGTCCAGAACTTGCCGTACCCCTAGCCAATCTCTTCCAGTACAGTTACAACGCTGGTATCTACCCAACAATGTGGAAAATTGCCCAGGTGTGTCCTATACACAAAAAGCAGACAAATCCAACTCAGCCAATTACTGCCCCATCAGTCTACTCTCGACCATCAGTAAAGTGATGGAAAGTGTCATCAACAGTGCTATCAAGCAGCACCTGCTCAGCAATAACCTGCTCAGTGACGCCCAGTTTGGGTTCTGCCAGGGCAGCTTAACCACTGATCTCATTACAGCCTTGGTTCAAACATGGACAAAAGAGCTGAATTCCAGAGGTGAGGTGAGAGTCACAGCCCTTGACATCAATGCCACATCTGACTAAGTGTGCCATCAAGGGGCCCTAGTAAAACTGGAATCAATGGGTATAGTGGAAACCACTCCTCTAATTGGACTCATACCTGGTGCATAGGAAGATGGTTGTGATTGTTAGAGGTCAATCATCTCAGCTCCAGGATATCTCTGCAGGAGTTCCTCAGGGTAGCATCCTAGGCCCAGCCATCTTCAGCTGTTTCATCAATGACCTTCCCTCCACCATAAGGTTAAAGTAGGGACGTTCACTAATGATTAAATAATGTTCAGCAACTCCTCAGATGCTGAGGCAAGCCATGTCCAAATGCAACAAGATCTAGGCAATATCCAGCTTTGGGCTGACAAGTGGCAAGCAACATTCGTGCCACACAAATGCCAGGTTATGACCATCCAATAAGAGACAATCTAACCACTGCCCCTTGTCATCCAATGGCATTAGCATCACTGAATGCCCCACTATCAAAATCCTGGGGTTACAATTGACCAGAAACTCAATTGGACTCACCATATAAAAACAGTGGCTACAAAACTAGGTCAGAGGCTAGGAATACTGCGGCCAGTAACTCACCTCCTGGCTCTTCAAAGCTTGTCCACCACCTACAAGGCACAACTTGTGATGGAATATTCCCCACTTGCCTGGATGGCAGTTCTAACAACACTTAAGAAAATTGTCACAATTGGGAACAAAACAGCCCATTTGATTGGTAGCACATCCACAAGCATCCACTCCCTCCACCGCTGAAGCTCAGTAGCAGCAGTGTGTACCCTCTACAAGATGCACTGCAGAAATTCACCAAAGATCCTCAGACAGCACCTTCCAAACCCATGACCACTTCCATCTAGAAGGACAAGGGCAACAGATACATGGGAACACCGTCACTTGCAAATTCCGCTCCAAGCCACTCCTGACTTGGAAATATATCACCATTCCTTCAATGTTGCTGGGTCAAAATCCTGGAACTCCGTCCCTCAGGGCATTGTGGGTCAACCTACAGCACATGGACTGCAGTGGTTCAAGATGGCAGCTCAACACTGGAAAACTAGGGGCGGGCAATAAATGCTGACCCAGCCAGGGATGCCCTCATCCCACGAACGAAAGAAGGTCAGGAAAAACTTTCCTGATCATCAAGAACCACATCACAGATCTTGTGAATATAAGCTACTGAACTGCTTTTGCAAGCTGTGTGTGTGCGCACGTGTGTGTGTGTGTGTGTGTGTGTGTGTGTGTGTGTGTGTGTGTGTG